CTTTGCTTACGATGATACCACTCATAGCTACACCAATGCAGGCTACGAATCCATCGGCGGCGGAAGGCCAATCCGGTGCGGGATTCTCGACCTGATCCCAACCAAGGGTGCAAGCTTCATCAACAATCGATGGGACCTCGTGAACGAAGTTGTCCTTCGCGACATCACCCGTCAGCGCAGACTGAACGCGGATTGGGCGCTATCATGCATCCAATCTGACCTGCGCCACAGAATCGCCAGGCGCCCAGGCTCGGAATGGCTTGACAACAGGTGCCAGGTGGCATTCAACAGTGTCATCAAATGTGATGAAGGAGGGTGGGTGATGATCGAAGATTTGGTGAGGCATGAGCCACTATGGACCCATGAAAGCAGACGCATCACCGAAGCGGTCTCAAGGACCGATGAGCAACAGAAGAAGAGAGTGTACAATGAAAGACTTCAGCTATTGTTCCAAGGGAACATGATTGCAGCCACGAAACGCCACAAGGCCAAGATTCGGTTGCAGTTCCTGGGTGTGAGAGTGAAGGACCCCGGCACGGAAACTCTTGGATCAGCAGGTTCGAACAGGTTGGTATCGGTTCAGGACCAGATCACGGAGATCCAGAACAATGATCATTGCCGGCACGGCCAGAGGTACCTGAACATGTGCAACGGCTGGGTGAAGCCATGGGCAGTTCGGGCTACGAGTGGTCACTCTGCGCACTCAGATCCCCAGAACAACTTGCTTCAGTTGGACAAGAACAGGTTCGCAATATCTCCATCTATGACCCTCTTGCAACGTCTTGGAGGTGCGTTCCACGCTACGGCATGCCGCAACTTGGATTCCATTGTCACGCAAGGCATCATGCCTGGTTCGGAGGACCCCGACGGGGACTTCGACCATAGGCGCCAATTCCGAGGCAACCAAGGTGGCAGACTCCACAGCTATTGGGGGGTGTTTGCGCCGTTCGATCACCGGAACGCAACGACCAAGATGCGAGTACATGGACGAGACGCCAAGCACATGCCACTGGCGGTCCTTCATGTCCCATCGCAGGACCTTGCACGAGAAGATGGACGTATCACAGACAGCGGCATCGTGATCGTTGGCCGAACGATACCTTTCCATTTCGTCAAGGAGGTATGGTTTTGCGTCCCTGATCCTCGAGATACACACTCTTTCGCTCTGGTGGAAAAGATCTACGATGAACGGTTGGAGAAAGAGCTGGTGTTGGACTACAATGCATCACCGTTGCTTCCTGAGTTCGAGAGATACCGAACGCCAAGCAAGATCATGGAATTGCTTTGCGAGATGCCTCCTGGACCCCACGACACAAGCAAGGAGCAGATCATTCGAGACCTCACGACTGTCCTGGAGTCCCACAGGGAGAACACGGTTCGGCATCACTACATGGACAAAGGAATCAAGTTTGTCATCAAGAATTGGCGACCCGAAGACCTACGCAGAGACGAGGATGGACGGAGAATGAGGGTATGCCCGGCATGCTACAACATCGTTCCAGCATGTTTCTCCCGATGCACGTCTTGCTGGTCACAGTTCGTTTCGAGCGGATATTACCAAGGTTCTCCACAACGGGAGACTCCTACGGAGATCCCCAGTGACTTCATTGCTCAGACAATGGAAGCCGCAGCAGCCGCAGTGCCTGAGGCGCCCGAAGAGGAGCAGGAAGCCATGGAGGTAGAGACCGTTGCGGAACCTGAAGAAATCCCAGAACCATCTGTCATCGCGGAGGACGATCCAGAACAGGAACCTGATGAAGAAATGGACATAGAGCCAGGAGAGGACTTTGATGACGCAGTACCAGAAGCAATTGCACAGGAACGTCGTCCCGTCTTCGTTACCGGCCAGTCTTTGAACATCGATCCTGAGCTACAACTTGCACGTACCGCCATGCAGCCATCCTACTATTCTGGAAAGCGAAATGCCCATTGCATTGACGCGAACATGACCGCTCTTTCGTACATGGCATACGTGGTATGCAGATCCATCTACAAGGCTTGGTCAGGATTCGCAAAGTGGGCGACTATGCCGTTGTTCCAGATGAGGGAAAGTTTCGCACTTGGCCAACGCTATGATGTGCTCGGAAAGTGGGGATCTTTGGCGGCAGTGGATAGGGAAACGGGTGTGAGCAAGGATGTGACTGATGAGGAGATCATTCGCTTTGCCAAGGAGCCTGAGAACCTCAAGCAGTATGATCCCAACGGGACTTACACCTTGAAGCGCTTCCGGACGAACCAGATGCTTTCGTTGCTTACACGGGGAGCCAACATGATGGGAATTGGCAGGGACAACTTCAACCCTACTACTTACTTGAAGAGCGAAAGGGATGAAGATGTGAAGGCTATGCACTTTTGTTGCCTGAACGTCCTGTGCGAGGTGATTCCAATGGTGACGGGACACCAACAATTCTCAGTGCTACGACCAACGCCAACTGGACCGGTGGACTTCTTGTACATCGACCCCGTCGGTATCCTGCTGACTCATTCTGATCAGTCAGTCCAGACCATCGGCTTGCTGGTGGACCACAGTGTGCAAATGCCTGCGCATTTCATGGACAGATTGAACAGATCCAAGGCTGAGAGACAGCAAAACCCGACGACCAAGCGTACTGAAGCCCTACACCACATTTCGGCCGCTGACTATCTCCCTCCAGGTGGTACTTCCATCCTGGACACGCCTGTCACTACGGAGGAACGTGAAAGCGCTTCTTCGGCCAAGGGACCTTCAAAAGGGCGTGGGAGAACCGGAGGTGAGCAGCATGGAGGCTGGAACTCCAACTCCTACTACGACTACACCGCCGGCAAAGGCCGAAACAAAGGCAAGGACAAGGGAAAGCATCGGGAACAGTATCCAGAGGAAAACCTCCGGCCCTGGGACCGCGATCCTGCGACCACGCGAAGATGGAGATGAATCAACGCTTGGTCTTCCTCGCCTATCAGTTCGTGACCTCTGAGCTTCGCCCATGGAATGCCATCGCGAATGCTTCTTTCTTCGGTGACGCCTGATTCGTTTGTCATTTCAGGGGATCGTTACTGACGTAGATGAGTGTCACAACGTTTCTAATTGGGATGCAAAGCTCTGATTTTCAATGCCAACGTTGCGGCGGAACATTTTCTGTTGTCCTATCGTGTCATCTTCCGGGTGAGCAGCGTCGGAGACGCAACTCATGGGGGGTGCGAACGGACTGCGATGCCTTGTCAAGTTCTAAGGTGTCACTATAAGAGCTGTGAGCAAGACCGTGTAAAGTGCAAGAGAAGGGGGCACGCTACGCGTCCCTCGACTCTAAGGGGGCATGCTACGCATCCCTCATCTTTACCTTTCTATGTGACCGCCAACGCAACGTTTGGCTCAAGTCAATGCCCATAGCTAAGTGCTATATGTGTCTTCTATCCTGAGCAATCAGAGCTATCCCGTTGCACAGACGAACCGCCGCCGGCAGTGAGTGCAAAAGGAACGGCCGCCGGTTCTGCCTGCATAGGATTGCACGTGTGGAAGTAAGAGGGAGAGACAGGGTCCAGTCTGTGGAGAGTGCAAGCCAGCCACACCTACATTCATTACAGCTCTGGTGGGGAGAGCAGCAACCAAGTCGAGATCAATCCCCCACGCATGTCAAAGTATATGTTGTATATCTACTGCAAATGTTTTACTTTACAGATTGTTGTCGGGTGTGGTGTGCTTTGATACAATATTTCAAGGAATTGGTGGCATCGAGAGCATCTTGCAAGGATATGTCACCCCCGTCGCGGATCATGCTGGAAAAGAGGAAAAGAGGGACACAAACGATGACTTTCACTCGGGAGAGAACTGCAACGGATACAGTATGTCGTGGAACATACCGCACCTTGACATGGCATTAAAACAAAGCATTGTCATGTGTATACACGTGACAAACAAATACATAATAGGAACACAGCATCCAAGGTTAGCAAATGTCGCCTGGCTCGAAAATCCCCCAAATTTGTAAAGCCTGAAATGCGAAAACATCGGCAGGGCTCAAATATCACCAAAATTTCCAAAATCGTGGCATCTATGGGGCCATGGGTGTTTAGTTTTGCAAAACTTTGGGGATTTTCGAGCCTGGCCATGTTTTAGCATCCGACGTTGACGAAATGCCGCCAGGCTCGAAAATCCCCAAAATTTGTAAAGCCGGAAATGCGAAAACACTGGCAGGTATCAAAAATCACCAAAATTACCAAAATCCTGGCAACTATGCGGGGTGCGGGGCCATAGTTTGTCATATTTTGGGGATTTTGGGGATTTTTGATCCCTGCCAATGTTTTTGCATTTCAGGCTTCAGGAATTTTGGGGATTTTCGAGCCTGGCAGTGTTTCAGCATCCGAAGCTGCCCACCTCCCATGACCCACTGCTTACCAAAAGCAAGCATAGTATGGATCATGGGGGGGGGGGGGTAAGCATATATGCATATATATATATGTATATATATATATATACACATATATATACATATATATATATCCGAAAGGAATCGTTCGAGTTTTGGCTTCTGGCCTTGCATTATCATGTCATGGGCTTCTGTCGTCTAGTGATGGATGAAGCAGGAGACGAAGAAGCTGGAACAGGAGGGGTCAACCTTCGGTTTCTGAACGCCTGCACAGTGCCAGCGCCGGTGGAGAGCAGTGAGAGCCCGGACGGCTGCTAAAGATGCATGCGCGCGGGGAAAGGCCATGCACCTGCTGTTCCTGACTTTCGATGTCAATTAGCTGTGTAGCTGCTGCAGTGCAAATCGGCAGTGTGACAGTCGACCTCGCATTGAAGCTGAGGGCCGAGCACAAGATTTGTCAGGATTGTCATGTTGCACTGGCACAGACACTGAGCACGGATATCTGTTGCCCTTGACCCTAAAGAGTAGCAACCTTTTGTCACCATGCAGCAGACTGTTTTCATATAGCAGCCAGGCTGCCCATGCAGCCCTGATGCCTGTGCACTTGACTGCGGGCCACAATGCAGCTTTGGTCGACGGATCTTTGGTTGCGTCTTGATGGACGATGATTTCGACAGGTTTCTAGAAGCCTCGAACGATGACGAGGAGAGCTTTTTGCAGCCAACCTGGAATGCAGCTTCGGCTTCGGCTGGCCGCTCGCCAGTGAGAGGAGGCAGTCCTTCATACCGTGGGAAGTATGCTGGTGCTGGTGGAGGGTATCGCTCTAGCGATCCACTTGCCAGCATTGACCTCAGCTCATTGCCAATCCCGGAACGCACTGCTCCCAAATCGAAAGTAGTGAAGAGCACCGGTGCCGCATCTCGGGGTCGTGCAGAGCCTTCTGCATCTCCAACGGTGCGCAGTGGCATGCGCCAGTCCAGTGACCGTGTAACTACACCATCAGCTAAGTCCGAACCTGCGAAAACAAAGCCGTCTCCGACAGCCCACTCAGATTCGGAGAGCTCGGTGTCTCACGGTCACAGTGATGGCGATGCGACCGGCACAGGAGCGATGGCATCAATCTTCGCAAATTTTAAAGCAGAGATGGAGCAGCAGCTGCGAGAATCGGCAGAGGAGCAAAAGCGGCAGGAGGATGAAAGAGAAAGGAAAAAGAAGGAGGAGGAAGAAAAGAGGAGAAAGGAAGCAGAGGAGGAAGAAGAGAGAAGGAAAAGGGAAGTGGAGGAGGAAGAAAAGAGGAGAAAGGAAGTGGAGGAGGAAGACAAGAGGAGAAAGGAAGCAGAGGAAGAAGAGAGGAGGAAAAAGAAAATGGAGGACGAAGAGAGGAAGAAGAAAGAAGCTGAGGAGGAAGACAGGAGGAACAAGGAAGCAGAGGAAGGAGCCAGACGGAGGCGAGAAATGGAGGAGGAAGCGAGAAGAAAGAAGGAATTAGAGCAGGAAGAGACCAGCAAGAAGGAAGCTGAGAAGGCAGAACTTAGAAGGAAGGAAGAGGAAGCAAAGAAGGAACGTGAAGTCGCAGAAGCAGAACAAGCGAGGCTCAAAGTGGAGGACGAGCAGAGAAAAGAGGCCGAAAATCGCAGACATGCAGAGGAACTGGAAGCGAAGAGACTTCGGGAGGAGGAGCAAAGGAAGCGTGAGGCAGCCGAAGCCGAAGCGGCGCGAATCAAAGAACTAAAACAGCGAGAGCTAGAGGAAGCGGAAAGGAGAGAGCAAGAGCAAAGGAGACGAGCAGAAGAACAAGAGGCTGCGGAAGCCAAGCGGAAGCTTGAAGAGCTGAGGAGGATGGAATCTGAAGCATTGGACAGGAAAATGGACGAACGAATCGCAAGACATCAGATTGAGATTGGACAGCGCGCAGCAGCTGATGTGAGGGATTCAAAGCGAGCTGAAGAAACCGCCAGAGGTCATGCGAAGGACGAGGCCTCGAAGGAGGCGATCGGAGACTGGAAGGAAGTTCGGCATCATCAAGCGCAGAATGCGATCTCTGATTTCAACATTAAAAAAAGGGAGATTGGGGAGATGAAAAGCTTGCGCACAAAGACGAGGGAGGACCAGCTTTATGACGAAGAGGCCAATCGTTGTAGCGATTTGTGGTTGTGTGCGTGTGTGTTTTGAGTGTCTGTGTGGCCATGATGCAGGCTGCCCACCGACTGGTCTTCTTGTTCTTCTCTTTGCGTGCTTGGCCGCAGCCTGAAGTGCAGTCCGTGAGTAAATACGGAATCATCTGCGGTTGTAGGTCCGAGAGTTGTGAAGGAGGCCGTGCTCGCCCTCAGTCGGTCGAATCACGTGTGCCTCAGCAAAGGCCGTGTTGACTGTTACGGCTGAGGCGTGCGCAAAGCTGGGGTGCGCGGTGCGAGTCACGCGCAGGCGGCAACACTAGTGTGAGGGGGCGGAGCTGGTCCAATTAATTTTTTGGACAGCACGGCACCCTTGACTTACGCCAAGGAGCTGAGTGACACAGGTTTCAAGCTAGCAAACAGAGACATTGTTCGACTCGATGCTCAATGCAAGTGTATGTCCATCGTCGCACTGCGTTATTGTCAGGTGTGCCGCAAGTTTGCAGAATGTGCTACAGTTGCGCACGACTGGGCTCGGCGGTGGCCTCGGCCATTGCGTGGTTTACTTTGAACTTTCTGCCAGTGCAGCAAGGTAAGGCAGTGTTGATACTAGCATAGCAACATACATCTCCAAGCAGAGATAAGCAGAGGTGCAACGAATGCGACAGATCGCCGCAATGCCGCCCCGAGCGGACCGACGATCTGGCGAGAAGTGCGTACGAAGTAGCCGATCATCAACTTCTCCCCCTCCCGGGCAAAACGCAAAAGCGTGGCTGAAATGTTCGAGAAGATGGAAGCGTGCATGACCGCCGGGAAGTTCCGTGATGCATCTTGCATTTGCGCTCACCCTCATGCTGAAACGAAAGTCGGCTTTGCTCCTGTCCAACTGGCCGCTGTCACCAACACACGATGTCGTTTTCGAATTGGATCTGAGATGTGCGCATGCTGTAGTGAGAGGCTTGAGTGCTCCCGAATTCAGCCTTCAGTGTGTCAGAAACCCAAAACGGCTCGTCGCGGAAAATTCGATATTCTTCCGGCTCTGCTTCTCCACGAGAGACTCAGCGAGAGAGAGAGAGAGAGAGAGAGAGACAGAGAGAGACAGAGAGAGGGCTGACCTCCTTTGGCCGAGTGCAACCAAGAGTTAGGACCTATCTCGTGCACTGCCTTGCTTCTGAGACATCTGAGACTGCTGACGTGGGGGGACTGCTGCAGTAGTACAACAGGGAGGCGGGAGAGAGCGAACTTTGGGTCCCCTGTTAGCATGATCTACTCTTCACGTGGTGTTGTTTCACTCGCATGTCGCTCTTTCTAAGTCGGGGGCGTTTACCTCGACTGCCTCTACTTCCTTACGTGCCACTCCACAGGGGGTGCGCATGGAGCGCACGGGGGAAGGGGCGACCCTCTCCTCAGGCCCGCAAAAACAGAAAGACATACGTACATACAGAAAGAAAGAAAGGTAACGTAAGGGACTGAGCATGGGTGCGTGCGTGCATGCGTGTGCGCATGCCTGTGTGCATGCGTGCATGCGTGCATGCGTGCATGCGTGCGTGCGTGCGTGCGTGTGTGCCAGTGTGTGCTGCCCTCGTTCAAGGGCATACCGGGTCGCGCTCCTGTACACCCCATTTGTTCATCTCACAGAGGGGACACGGGAGGTGGTGAGGGATCTCCGTCCAGCGAAGCTTTCCCCTGCACCTGAGGACAAACGACTTGCATTGCTCGCTCATGTATCCTTGCCCGGGGGTAGCTTGGGGAGCATCATATCATTTTCATCCTTATCTCATTTCGTGCTATGACATTGCTTGTGTCTGGCGTAGCAAGGGGCCGACACCATACCCTTTACGGATCATTTCATGTTTGTTGTGTATGCCATGCCTTGGGCCTGGCATACATGGTACCACAAATTCTCATCTCATCTTCTTTCCAATCAACATCATCCTGTGTTATTGCCAACCATGAGTGCGATTATCATTTGAGAAAATGTGTGTGTGTGTGTACGTGTGGGCATGTGTTTGTGGATCTTCCTAGTGGTCCTAGTTCATGCAAGGTCACTCCCACACGCGTCACATGTTTCTCTCATTGGCTTGCAGGAATGCAGGGGGGTTTGTGGGCTCCGCACCACGAAGCTCGCACCCCACCACCAGGAAAACGTACCTGCACGTGTCAGCCCCGGGCCTCTTCAAACTCATCATGTCAGTTGGTGCCATGTTTTGTGTCCCGGGGCAGGACCGTACCCCACGGATTGTTCGTCTGTTTTTCCGTATGCCGTTCCTGGTGTCCGGCAATGAGGGGTGTCTTATTAGGCATTCCACGGGGGGGCTACGTCGCGGAAATATACCCACGGAATAACAGTTTGATGACGCATGTTTCAAGGACGACTTGGAGAGCAGGGTGCAGAATGATACTCGAAAACGGGCTTGTCGTTCGAAACCGGGCATGTAGCAACCCGAGTCCGGCGAGTGGCAACCCGGTTCTGAACTTGGCTGGAGTCAGGTTATGGAGTTTCTGGATTTGGGGTCTGTAGGTTTGGGTGTCTCGGCTCGAGGTAGCTTTCTGCTTGCTCGGCTCTCGTCGTTTTTGCAGATACTGCTATACCCGGCCCCAGCTGGTACTGCACGTGTGCCATTGCTTGCGCCCGTGCTCCACCCCGGTGTGGTCGCGTCCTCTAGTCTGTTGTGGCCTGTGCGCGGGACCCTGAGGGCGGCCTCAACTACTGTACAGCGTCGCTGCTGGTGGACGTGTTCACTGGAGCGATCCTTACTTACAGTCTTTCGTTTACTTCCCGGTGCAGCATGCTTCTGGGCTCTGGTTTTGCCGATCTACGTGACTTTCCACGGCTCGGACAGTCAGTCAGTCAGCTCCTTAGTTTGCCCTGCTTTTTGAATGGGCTCAGCGCTGGCATCCTTCCCAAGAACGACGGCACTGATCCTTGTTCGTTGTGGCCTTTTGCTGTCACTTTCCTTGACGTTCTGCTCTGGCTCGCTTAGTGGCTCTGCCGGAGGATTTGTCAGGATGCTCTACTGTCTGCAGTAGGTCCTTCCTTCGAGCATGCGTAGTTTGTGTTCCGGCCGTCTGCTTTGTAGTGTGCCTTTGCTTTGCTCTTTTCCCGCTTGCGCTTCGGCTGGCAGCAGGGCTTTTGGCTCTAAGTTTTACTTCTGGGGTGTGCCCGCATAGTGCGGGCATGTCCACTTAGGCGCCGGTCGTAGCCGGGGCCTCGCTCTCATTTGAGCCCCAGCTCCTGCTTTTGTCTCACGTCGGTTAGTTCTTGTATAGCTCCTCTGCCGCCACGGCTACAGCAGTCGTCGCTTTTCGAGATTTTCCTGGACCCTTTCAATGCGGGACTTCCCTTAAGGCGTGCGTGAGTGAGTGAGAGTTTGTAGGTTCAGGGTTTATGGTTTGGGGGTTTAGGGTTTGTGGTTTCAGGGTTTATGGATTTTAGTTTTTATAGGTTCAGGGTGCAGAGGTTTAGGTTTCAGCGTTGTTGGGTTGGCGTTTTCTGGGTTCAAGGTTTACGGGTTAGGGTTTCTGGGTTTACAGTTTCTAACTTTAGGAACTTTAGGCTTTGTGGGTTCAATGTTTTTGGACCCTGGATTGCGGATTCGGATTGTGGCTTGTTATTCGAAACGTCCCCGTCGTAGGATTTGACAGCCTCCCCACCTTCCGGCATTTTTAACACATTTTCCGACCACCGCCCCTTGCCCAAGGACTGGCACATGTCGTGTGTGCTGCCGAAAATTGATCCCATGTTAGTTTCGTTGGTCGTGTCACCTCGTGCAGTTGTCAATATAAGAGGTGTTCCAGCAGTCCAGCAGCTCATCAATCAGTGTCTCAGCACAGTCCAAGTGTGGGGGTGTGCGTGCGGGTGTGGGTGTGGGTTGGTGGGGGTTGGGGGCGAGGGCACATGGTTGGTTGGGCGATTGGGTTGTTGGATGGTTTCTTGGTTGGTTGGTTGGATGGCTGGGTGAGTGGGGGTAGTCTATTCTATCCAAGTGTCAATGTTTCCTTGAAGTTCGGATTTTGAGGATGACCCAAGCGTTTGCTTGCTGGAGTCGCCTCTGCGCAAGCACTGCAACTGCCGTGTTGGACCGCAAAGCACAGGACGCTAGGGAACAGTACCTTTTGTGATAGGACATGACAGCATCCTTTTGAATCCGTCTGCTTTCCTTGCTCCTTGTTTTCTCGAACTAGGACCAGCTTGCTGCAGCAGCTCAACAAGTTGCTGACACAACTTGCTCCTGAACTGATTCGCCGTAAATTCTGGACTGGGTCTTGATAATAATGCCTCTTCACTTCACGTTTCAGCAACCGAGGCAAGCAGTCCGTGCTATTGCAGCAAGTGGCTCACTTGGAGCAAGAAGTGGCGAGAATAAGTCAGGAAAGGGATGCATTATCGGGAGACTTGGAAGCTTTGCTTCACAAGGGGCCGGGAGCTGGCCGACCGAACTCACAAGACAAGACGTCCGATTTGCACGATGGCCGCGGTGACCGAACTCAGAAGCTAGAAGCTGATCTTCATCTCGCTGAGAAGATGCTGCGTGCTTGCGAGAAAGAAAACGAAAATTTAGCAACCCAAAATCGGCAGCTTCGTCAAGGAGCTCGCTTACGGCGTGAAGAAGTCGATGGAAGGCAGTTGCAACTTGTTGCCGAGTTGAATGCAGCCAAGGCTAGTGCTGATGCCAATCCAGCCAGCATGGCCCGACTTGTTGATCTGGAGCGAGAGCTTGTGGCAGTCAAGGAAAGGGCTGACGAACATGCAAAGGAGCTGGAAAGGTGCAGAGAGGCAAAGCGACAGCTTGAACGGGAAATGATAACAGGACCGCTGCCAAAAGCTGCTCACAGTGAGGAGCTGGAACATGCCGAAGCAAGACTTGCTCAAAGCCGGAGTGAGGTGTCAGAACTGCAGGCCAAGCTTCTTTTCTATGCGCAGGGACAGCAAGAGATGGAGGAAGACCGCAGACAAGTATTGCGCCTTGGCGAAGAGTTGCGAGCAGCCTTGGGCGAGAATGCAGAGCTTCGCAAGCGGCCTGCAAAAGAGGCCAGCAAAAAGATTGCAGAGCTTCGGAAGCAAAACGATGAGTTGCATGAGTGCCTCCGAAAGCGGCATCCCGACAGCCTCCTGGCTCTCATCAAAGCTTGCGAGCCGCCTCCTGAAGAAAAGCGCAAGCTGAGTGAACTGAAAGGCCGCATCCTGGAACTTGAGGCTCAACTCGCGGAGCAAGATGCGCTGTACGATCGCCGCATCCGAGCGCTCAGAGCGCAGTACGACCATATGCGGCACGAGTATGAGCGACGTGCAGCCATAAATCGTGTACCGGTGCCTGAGACAGAGGAGCCGAAGCGTGCCGCTCCCGACCGCGAGGCTATCCTGCAAGCCAGAATCAAAGATCTGGAACGGCAGGTCGAACACACGAAGTCTTACTACCTGAGCAAACTACGAAAAAGAGAGCCGCTAGTCCCGTCGGGCAAGTCCAACAAGGCCGCTGTGCCGACTCCCAGTGGTGGACATGGAGCACATCACAATCAGGGAGATGCTCGACACGTCCAGCAACTCCAGCTGCAATTGCAAGCGCAAGAGGACCGCATAGCAGAGCTGACATCGGCTGCACAGAAGGAGCCCTGCTCGATGGTCTTCCTCCGGTTGCTTTTGGCATCGCCAGAAGCACTAGCACTGCTCGCGTTTTGTGTGATCCAGCGCTGGCTGCACATGGGCTCCGGCAACTCTGAGGAGGCTCTGGCGAGCTCTTTTGTCCCATGCATATCCGATGCTCTCCTCGTCTAGCTTAGGCTTCCACCTGTCCACCGCTGCGTGCACATGTGATTTCTGCGGGGGTCGGTCTCTCTCCCTATCTTTCTCTTTTTTCACTTTTTCCCCTTCTTTTCTGCTTTCTCTCTTCCTCTCTCACCTCTTTTCCTCTCTTCCTCTCTTCTTCTCTTCCTCTTTCCTCTCTGTCTCTCTGTCTCGCTGTCTCGCTGTCTCTCTGTCTCTCTGCCTCTGTCTCTTTGTCTCTCTGCCGCTCTGTTTCTCTCTCTCTCTCTCTCGCTCTCTCTCTTCCTCTCTGTCTCCCTGTCTCTCTCTTCCTCTCTTCCTCGCTGAAGTCTCTGGTTGCCGTATTGTGCAGTCTCTGTTTTGCTCCTCGGTTCCCATCAAACGCTCCGAACCCTGTCCTGCATGTTTTCCACTCCATGTGCCATTCTTGCCTTCAACAGACAGGCATCGTTTTGCTGTCGGTCCTATGACTCTTGTTCGTGTCCGAAAATTCCCGGGTCTGTCTGTGTGTGTGTGTGCATGTCTACGATAGTTTGTGCGGCCATAGGACCCATGACATATACCACTGGCAGTTGCGCTGGCGAAAACCGTGTAGAGAATCAGGCCGCGCTTGCTAGCCAGCTCCCCTCTTGCAGTAGGAACAGGTAGATGAGGGTAGATAACAGCAGCTTGGAGGTACGGAAGCAGATCCTGCAAGATGCAGAGGCCCAGGCAGGTTTGGACCACAGACTTCCTTGGAATCAGCTGCTGGTCTGAGCCTGAGATCTCCACGTGTCGCGTATCGTTACGCTTCTCGACGTCCCTAGTCCCAGATGAACCTTTCGCTCTTTCGAGGCGGTGCTAGCCCGTGCTGGAGTACCTCCTGGTTTGCTGGATTCGTCGGGGCCAAAGGATGACGTTGCAGTGTGGCACTTTTGTCACAGTCGGGCTTGCAGCAGGGGCAAGACACGCTCCAGATTCTGTGTACATATTTCCGGCGGACACTGCCTTCGGATCCTAGATCATCATCGGGTGCACTGCTCAACAACGCCCCGTAGCACCTCTAACCTTGTTTTTCCTTGTGCTGCTGCTCAAGAGCTGCAGCCATTTCCTGGCAATCCGCTCGTTGTTCACAAAATACATGTGCCTCGCCAGCACGGCCAGTGGCAGGGAAGCATCTTTCTACCCTTTCAGACCTGAGATGACCTAAGGATCTTTTCAAGATTCTGCTGCGCGGCAGCCGTGGTCCTGCAGCTGTGCCATGCGGCAGGCGAGAGCATGCTCCGCGCGCAGTACCTGCACCGACTGTTCCTGCCGCATACTGTTTCTTTGCAAGGTTCCGAGACCAGACGTCATCAGCCACTGCGAGAGAACAGAAGTTGATTCATTAGTAGGTTTCGCTGGCATCAAGCACAGTGATTCCAACCGATTGTGGAAGATCCAGGATGGTGATATCATCTTCTGGTATGAGCCATGTGGATGCCGTACAACAAGGGGTGATGCGGCGGGAGGCGGGCTGCATGTGGACAGGTGTAAGGCAAGCATTTGTGCATACTGACCACCGTGGATGATGCATGATCTCAATCATCGCTCCGGTGCTGAGGTTGATGCCGAGGCTCGTGACGTTGATGCAGCTTTGGATGATGTGCATCTTTCAGTGTCTCATTGGCAATCGCGATAGGTCTCGTTTTGCTGCTTTCTTGGTCGCAAAAGTTTTTTGCCGCACCTCTCCGCCTTGCCCGTTGGAAACCCAGGCAGATGCAGCCAAGTTTGATGTCCGTTTCGGCACCAAAGAAGACAGCAAGGCCACTCAAGCTGTTTCGAAACTTCAGCATGTGATGTCTCCCTTACCGCATACTGCATGTGCTGTACGCTCATTGTCATGAACTTGTAGCCGTTTTCAGATTCGCCAAGGCTCGAAAGACCCAGAACGATTGCACCGGCCTCAAGGAAGCCAGCGAATGCACTAGCTCCGACTCCTCGCAGCAATTGGGAATTCACCGAACTGGCGACATCATGAAGCGTAGCCCCGGGTCTAGTGTTTGACTTGTGGTTGTGTCGGATTCTTTGCCAACTGTTGCTACTGGTAGTCAGGAAGTGCAGCAGAGTGCTGCGGCCTGTGAGAGCCACAAGGCCTCGAAAGGCCTGGATCTGCGCTGGGCTGAGGACTCTGAAGGGTTCTTTTTCCAAGAAAATCTTCAGGACCCCAGTTCTATCGATGTACGTGGAAGAAGTCTGTGCCCGGCTCAGTTTCTTGACTTCGATGTTGTGATTCGGTGCTTAGTTGCTCAGGAGCCGAACCATGGTGATGAACCTGCTGTGCCAGCAGAATGCTACTTGGACGAGAAGGCTGGCGGAGCAGATCTCTGGCCACCAGATTGAGAGCTGCAGGAGTGCTTTGTCGTGGAGTCTGAGAAAAAGATGAGCGAGAGATGCAGTGAAAGAGATGTTTTGCAAGAGGGGGGCGGGCCGAGTACAGGAGATGTAATGATCTCTCTTCTCCCGATCTGTTTGCACAAGCTTCATAGGGCTGCTGAGGCAATCCGTGGTTCCCGTGCAGTCACGATGGGGGGCACCTGCCGGCATGAGTTTAACCATGATACCACGCAGGCTGGACCTTGCAGCACATGGGGAGACACATCATCCACGTCGGAGTAGAAGATGTGTCACCACGAAGAAATGGGCCTTCGTGCTCGGCCAAGCAGAAAAGCTTCAAGCAAGCAGAGCTCGCGCAAGTGGTTGCTCTGCATAAGAGGGGTGCATGCACATGAAAATGACGTGTGTGCTGCGTCACGTCTCTACGCCTCAGATGTCGGCTCAGCATGGTTGTGTTGACGACTTCTGCAGAAAGTTGTTTGCGAAGCATCTCATCAATCGTTTCTCTCTTGGAGCGAATTTACCGCTGAGTGTGGTGACCTGGCTGATGCACTTTGTGCCGCTTGAGAGCATAGACTGAACTTCAATAGCCCAGGTTGCAATGTCACGTGTTGCCTTGCTCCTGGGAGTTGCGCTGTTTGAGAGCTCGGGCCTTGTGTTTCCTTTTTGTGACGACTCTTTTTGGTTTGCAGATTCAGCCCGCGTCCCAAGGCACTCTTGCAAAGCACGTCGGCCAACAAAGGAGAGTTCGCAAACTGGCCCTTGCAAAGTGGCATCCGCATTGCATGAATGGAGAAGACACGGTTTTTAAACATGCAAGGATAGTAGTGGATGCAAATGGTGCTGAAGACGACGCTGGTACTTCTCTGCTCAGACGGGAGGCGGGCAGAAGACGTCCGCAAGCGTTGGCATATCGCCGGCAGATTATGATTTGATATAGTTTGATCGTGCATTCGCTTATGCAAGAACGCAGATGTGTATCAATCACGGAAGTGGGAGGTGACGTGGGGGTTTGCCCTGTGTTTTTTCCGTTGCATGATAATTGAAACGAGCCTTGTGCTTGCAAGTGCAGGCAGAGCTCATGCGGGTGGACGAAGGTGCGGATGCTTGGTCTTGCCGCGACTTATCGAAGCAAGCGAGCAGCCACAGACCTGCATCCATACGACTCAACATGCATTGCTACTAGTCTATCTGTCTATCTGCATGAAGTTTCGGCGTGTGCAGGTGCATACACGCATGATGCTCGCTGGTCTGCCACTGCATCTAATGCATTACGTGGCAGGTGCATTTTTGCATTTACATCTTCATGATCATATGCTTTCTGTGTTGATCTCGTCGCAATGTGTTTGCGAGTCCCGCATGAGAGTTCGTTGCAGATCTTTATCGTTCTGAGTTGAACGAAACATCACATACCTCATACCTGGCATATTAGGCTTCGGGGCCTCCGAGCAGGTAGCTCATTCCGACGAATCCTCGTTACCGCCGCCATGGCTTTTAAGCGGTACTGCTGCTGAACGTGGCCGGATTGTCATTATCAACCACTTGATTGACAGTGATTGACACCATCTTACACAACATTGCCAATATCTACCTTGTCAGGGACTACCTAATCTCCTGCAGGCTGGTTATTGGAGGTCACCATGCCATCAGCTCTTTTGCTATGCATTTTTTCTGATTCGCTGGAGCTTACGGGCACTCCTTTGGTCGTTTACTCCAACGGCCAGAAGAACGGCCAAGCATGGATCGATGATCTGCACATGTTTCTCCAAACGATATGTCCTTGGCTGCTTTTGACAAGCATCGCCAACCTGCAGGGCCACACATTGGGCATGACAAGAACAGCTTTGCTGCATGCAGGTTGAATTGTTGGCCACCATGCTCCATTGCCAACTTGGATCTTAGGGAGGCTCCTTGACAATTCTGGAAAACCACATATCCCCTTTGGTTGCATTAGCGAAACGTGTGGGAGCTCAAATCTATGATGTTTCCACTGGCCATCGGAAAAGCTCCATGTTGCTGCCGTTTGCAAAGCACTCCAAGCCTGCCGGTAGAGTGTTATGGCAGGAGCCGCCAGCGGCGAGTCGAGAGACCGCGACCGCTCTCACCATGGCTTTTTTCGGTTTGGACGTCCTCCTGTACTGAGATTCTGATGAGCGGTCACGAATTCTGCAGCGCGTGGGGGGGGGGGGGGGGGTTTTTGCACGAGTTGTTAGCCTCTTTAGGCGCGCCGAATTGTTTAATGTTCACTATTCCTCCACTGCCGAGGGCGAGTCCGGCTCCTGCCACGCTCCGGAACAGGCTAACTAATATTTCGCACTTGTTCAATTCTATTTGGTCTGCTCCTGTTTTCTTCTCTTTCCACGCACAGAGGGGTAAAAGTTGCGGGGGCTTTCCCCCTTGCCTCCGCCGTCCCATCCCTTGCGCATTGCGGGAAAAGTGCAGATTGCGCTCTATGAGCCCGTCGCTAGTGTCGTGAAGCTAGTTGTGCAACGTTCCTGGAGGTGAACCGCTGCTGTGCTCTTCCTCGACTTGGGTGTGACCCCGAACGCTATCGATATCGGCGAACCTACGCTCTTAATGTCAGCACGCGCACTACTTTCAGTACACCGTCTCTGGGCGGAGGACTCCTTCCAATCAGCGATCGTGACTTGGGCACCGACACCGAGAACAAATCCTTCAAACCACCGTGGCAGATATATCGGGGGTAACTCCTCTTAAAAGCTCTTCAGTGGTCGAGATGAGTGAGGCGTCGGCCCCTAGGCGTGGGGCCAGGAAGGAGCAATCACTTCCTGTGTGCCGCAGGTGCCTTCAAGGACCCTCCTACCACGGGGGGCATCGCCGGGAAGACACCCGATGCCAACGAATCTGCAAAGCGGGAGGCCCGCGAAGAGTGGGCAGGCGAGTTGCCATGGGAGCCCTTTTCATGGCCCGCAGATGGAAGCGGGGACTCAGGCCGAGGGTCTACTGTGCAAGATTTGCATTCGAGGACCCTCCTACCATGGAAAGCACGCTTGGGACGCACCCAGCTGCGTGCTGTTCGGTGCCAGCGAAGTGGTGGCTCCAGAAGTCAAGGGCTACTTCATGTAGCAGGCAGTGCCACCCGCCCACAGGGAAGCGACTAGAGAAATGCAGCAGCGGAACGAGCAGCCCAACCTTCTTCCAGAGTGCCTTTCAGAATTCCATCTTCGACCAGCTCAAGCTCGCCCCCGCCCCCGCACTCCAAGAAACCAGCTAAGGTCCAAAGCAGAAAGTTTGAGGAGACCGGCCGAAGTAAGGTGGCGCCGCGAGCTTCAACGGGGACACGCCTATACGTGTGACGACCTACACCCTGATGATCCACTATATGATCCACTGTGTGAGATGTTGGGTTATCATTCTACGAGTACTGCCAGCACAACTACTCCCAAGCGCCGTTGGGCTTCAGACTTCCTCAGCTGCTCGGGCCCACCCCGATTTGGGCGGTGGCCAGCCCCCCTGCCTTGCTTTTCGTGCCTGCTGAGAATATGAAGCTCGTCACCTCGTTGGCAACCGACATCAAAGGGGAGATGATGAGCAAAAGGATGTACGGGGCACCTCCCCGCTGCCTGCAGGGGCAGCACGAGCCATCCTCCACACTTTCAAGCGAGCAATATGGCAACAGCGACGTCGAGCAGCGTCGTGAGGACTCCCCCACAAGTGGCATCACGAACCCAGAACAAAGATTAGGAATTCCGCCGCTGTCGTGGAAGCGGAAGGTCACGACCATACTACTTTGTGGGCCGCCACCTTCCCTCACACATCAGCAGAGACAACGACTTCATCAGCTCCTCCGTGTGCGCGCAGAACAAGGGACGTCCCCCACCAATTTCGACATCCACCACGCTGACGCAGAGAAGTGGCACGCCTCCTGCCGGAAAGCTCAGCAGGAGCAAGACCGTGACCCTAGACGAGAGCAGCGACGAAAACAAGAGTGGCATGGTGATGACAACAGGCGGGACAAAAGGCGAGGCGCAAGCTCGAGGGAGTAGTGAGAGTCATTCTCTTCATGGGGAAAAACCCCAACTGATAGGAGACCAGGCCCGGGACCTGTGCCCGTGAAAACGGAACATCTGTGGATTCTTCTTTTTCTTTCTTCAACGTTGTGCCGGCTTGCACGCTGTTTCTCAAACTCAGTCCAAACGACTAGTCTCTCCAACTGACTCAGCACCTTAGATAGGGGTGAAACCGCTCGCTCTTTTTGGGATCCTAATCCTGACGGGCGGCCGCTGGAGCCTCCATACTCCTCGAAGATTGCCCCAGCCTGTACCATCAGGGTTGCTGCTTCCCCAAATTTGAGCCGGTAACTCTCGCACAAGCTTTTTCCTGCACACTGAGTGCTAAGGTCACTCGGGCTGCATAAATTATCATGTTTACGTGCGCCTTGGTGCGCTGTTGTTCTGCAAACAGTGCATGGCCAATTAGCCTGTGTGCGTTCTGTCCCTTGGCACCCGCAGAAGGGCGGAACCGCACAAAAGGTGAGGGGGGAAAACCCCTTCACCCCAGCCCTGGCGAAAGAGAGACAGACACAGAGACAGAGACAGAGACAGAGACAGAGACAGAGACAGAGACAGAGACAGAGACAGACGGAGACAGACGGAGACACACGGAGACAGACGGAGACAGACGGAAACAGACGGAGACAGACGGAAACAGACGGAAACACACAGAGACAGACAGAGTCAAACAGAGACAGACAGAGACAGACGGAGACAGGCAGACAGACAAACACATTGACAGACAGACAGACAGACAGACAGACAGACAGACTGACTGACTGACTGACTGACTGACTGAAAACTAATTCGCTATCTGATTCACGTGGATTAGGTAGCTAACTACAAATATTGTGGAATCTCAATAACTCACTATCTGACTAGGCAACTCAATCACTAACTCACGAACCAGTTATTTAATTGACAATCTATCAGCAAATGAGAAGAAACTACATAACTGTCCATCTAATTAGCTGACCCGGTAATACTTAGCCACCTAACTTTAAATCTAGCTGGCTAGCTAGCTACCTCACTAGCTTCCGATCTACAAAACTAACTAAATAACTGACCAACCAAATGGCCAACTACTCAACTAGCTAACCAACTAACCAGCAAACCGACCAACTAGCGCACTAACTGACGAACAAAGTAACCAACGCACCAACCAAGTTACAAAGACACCAGTTAAATAACGTATTGGCCAATTAGCCAACTAACTAACTAACTAACGAACGAACGAACTAACTAACCAACTAACGAACCAACGAACCAACGAACCAACTAACCAACTAACCAACTAATCAACTACACTGACTAGTCAACCCGCTAATACCTGGCTACGCAGCCAACAAACTCGTTGGCTCGCTAGCTAGATGGCTCGTTACCTATCTGGCTCGTTACCTATCTAAATGGCTAACCACTAGCTGACTGGCTGACTGACTGACTGACTGATTGAATGACTGAACGAATGACTGAATGACTGAATGACTGGATGACTGAATGGCTGAATGGCTGAATGGCTGAATGGCTGAATGACTGACTAACTGCTAACCAACGCCGTAACCACCTGCTAGCTAACCAACCAACCCGCCATCCGATGAGTCAATCAAGCAAGCAAGCAAGCAACCGACCAACCAACTCACCAACCAACCAACTAGCCAACCAACCAACCGACCGACCAACCAACCAAGTAACCGATGTGCTTAGAAGGCGAACTCGCAGGCAAAATTGCTCGAAGCGGACTGTTTCACCAGTCTGATCTAACATTTGGCCTTTCTGTGACCGTCTACAGTTTCCTCCCTCATGCGCGGTTTTCTCAACGCGTTGCATCTTGACGACTTGATGCTCTTTCTGGTACTGTGAACGATATCCTAGCTGCCTTTGCTTTGCCACCCGTTCGCTCCAGAACAAGACGTCACGTCTACTGTTGTCCAAAGACGATACGATCAAGCCGATTCGTCGCAGCATCCCTTTGAACGGTTCTGGCTATAGTTTGAGGAGCTGATCAAAAACAAGCAGCCCGAGCTGATTGTACGGGATGCTTCGTTGCATTGGAGATTCGACCAGTGCAGTGTTGGATATTGTCAAAAGGGTCCCATCTTCCCAAGAGATGATTGCGTTGTCTCAGGTCTTCTGATGGCCTTCAGTTGTGATGAACACAAGACCGCGGCGGTCTGTGAAAGCCACAAAGTGAACTCCGGTGCCTGCCCGCAAGAATGGCACTTGTTGATAAGTATGCGTTCCGGTTAGTCGTAGGCAAAGGATTGTACTTGTCAGGATTCTAGCCTAGACGGGGTGGATTGCTGAAAGTCGTCTTTTTTCCTGTGCAGCTAGGTCTAAATGGTTCGTGTGCAAAAACCCTGCAGAGTTTCAGAGAAGGTTCTAGCTGATGCAGGGCAAGGAACAGTCTAGCATAAGGATCCGATGCATTCAGATGCAGCTGGAAGCCGTCAGTACCTGCCGGCGACAACCCGGCAGTGCCGGCGAATTGCACCCCGAATGCAGCCACGACGAGGTGTTGAGTCCTTGTGCTATGGAGTGGACCGCCTTGCAGACGCTAGAGCATGCTAGAGCTCGCTCCTTCTGCTCGAGGCTTCGTGGATCTTGCAGCGGGATCCTGCGGAATCACCAACTCTACTGGGCCGGCGCTCTAAGACTCTGAACGACTCTGTCCGAAAGGCTTTGCCGCCGCGAGAAAAAGCCGCGGCGGGATTGCAGCACTGATCGCACATTGCTCGAGGACATAGCAAGTTGGTTCGAAGTATCGTTTCGGTACGTTCACGACCTGGCTCTGAGGTGTTGCCAGGCAGCTCCGCTTGACTTCACTGTCTCTTTGGAGGAGTTCGGGCAGCTGCTGCAAGGTCGGGGGGTTAGCTCAGTCGGGATCGAACTTGGGCCAGTGGCCAGTCGCACTGGAGGCACTCCTGTTGCAGAAGTCTCGCCCGTCGCCTGCGGCCAAGATTCGAGTAGATCGAACAGGGGGTCAGGTTGCCGGGCTGAGGCTATGAATACAAGCCATTACAAACCAGCCTTCTTCTTGCCAGCGCGACCCCTTACGAGAAAGCAGGAACCGGGTCCATGGGAGACCTGCAGCGCGTAGAAGAGAGTCTGCAAGCCTACTGAGGGCGTCTCCAAGGTGGGCGTCCGGCATCCGCTTAAGCTCTTGGGCTCTTGGCCGTGGCCCCTTTGATCTCTGCCGCAGGTGTTGGCCCGGCTGAGGCTTGCCGCAAGGCGAAAGGAGTATTCGGGCATCGCTTCTGCCTCTGCCGCTTCTGCTTCGCCTGCAGGGACAGCCCGAGTACAGCAATCCATCGGCTGGATAGCACAGGAAGCGGTTTCCTGCGGAGAGGCTGGATTTGACACGCGGCCCGGTTAAGTCAAGCAGAAACCTAGCTCACCCCAGACCATGCATTTTATTGCAGTTGCCGTGCATGCTTGTTGCCAGGTGAGTTCACGGATGCTTTGCAGGCCCTCCCGTGTGATTTTTCAGTGGAAGAGAGGCAGGCTCTGCTGGATCCAAGCTGTTGGCAGTGAAGTGCCGGGTGATACGAATCTCTGTACCTTGGCAGGCATCAGGTTGCCTCCCTCTTCGCTCCGCCAGGTTGGGATGACAAGTACAGTAAGCATATCCAGAGGGAGACCTGTTTAGAAAGTTGTGTCGAGATAAGTGAGGTTGCGCACAATTCTCGTGCTGTCACAAGCCCAGCACTGGCTGCAAGGTGATTTGCAGTGGGTGTGCTACCCTCTATTTCTTCAATGCCTTGCTGATTCCGATCAGGCTGCTTGCATCGGATGCGGACTGCCTCTAAAACGCTGCGAAATGTATGTCTTCTCGTCGGCTCCAGACAGGCACATGGCTGAAGCAAGAGTCATAGTAGTGTCATACTGTCAGAGAGCGTCGCGGCGTCCAAGTTGAGCACCCGGAGCATGGAGTGACATGGCTCGAGACGCGAAGCGACCCCTGGGCTGGCGCACCTGGCGAGCTCGTGCGCAGGTGGAAGTTGCGAAAAGTTCGAAGGTTTAGGACTAGACCCGGCTGACCCATGCAGCTAGTGTCTGCTCAACCCCTCATAAAGGAGTCCTTAAGGCAGTTCTGGGAAGGGAAGGAGAATTGTGACAGGGGGCTCTGAGTCTCACCTGCGCAAAGACTGTGCGCATCTGTGCGCACAATCATGTGGCCGTGCCCGTCGCGTTAAATTTGCCCATATTTGCCCCCTGCGTCCTCAGCCATCACTGGGCCGGGATGTTTCGGGGTATTCCAAAACGCTTGCGTACTCTTACCAGGTTCAAGGACGCCTTCACATCGTGTAGTGACCCCGGCGAATTCCAAAACCCGAACAAGTTGCTTGCCACGTGGCAGCGCCGGGACGACCTCATGACATCAATATTTGATGACCTTGATGCTCGCACTTAGTCAAGGGTCGACATTGGTTCAAGCATGTTCAAGCCAAAAGGGCGCGGAGGACCATGAGCACAGACAGGAACTATATAGCACCACTGTAGGAGTGATTGGTGCAAGTTGCACACCCGTGCTGTCAGAGTGCCCTTCTGAAAGTTGTGGTAATGCCAACCGTGGCCAGACCATGTGTAGCAAATTTGCCGGGCCGCGGCTTGGGGTTCTGGGAGACTTTTCGTGAATCAATTCCTGCAAACCGGCTACTCATCTTGCCGAAGAGAGCTTCGATGTTCGCCGTAGAGGAGTTTCGACGAAAAATGGTTGTGGAAGAGAGTCTGGCATCCCTGCCCTGAGGTCGCTCACGGACATGAAGCTTGGTGGAGGACTACAGCCAAAGCTGAAGGGTCTTTTCAGCATGGCACCGTCTTTTGCGCTCATGTGGAAGACCCGCTCGAGACTGGGTTGCATGTGATGCACTTTTCTCGAATCGAGGGGCACCCGTCGGCTGTCGATAGCCCGTCCGCGTCCGCTTCTGTGCAGAACTACTTGTTTTTGGAGTCAAGGCCTGGCAGCGGACGGGATTGTGGCTCGGCCAGCGGTTTTCTCGATTCTGAAGACAAGGCAGCCAGGTCGATCACAGGCGAAGGAGGAAAGGGGTTGTAAAGGCGATTTTATAGTCTAGATGATCGATCCTCTGCGGTCTGCCCTGTTTCTGGTACAGCAGAAACTTTTAGTGCTGGATGCAGTAATACTGCAGGGCTCACTAGCCCAAAAATATATCCTTGTGTATCCGTGTCGGCAGTGTTGTCGTTGCTGTGAGCGTGATGCAGGTACAAATACATAGTAGTCGCCTGGGATCAGAGGAAACGCGCATACGAGGCCAGACGGGGGTACTGGTAACCGCTGGGGTCGTCAGTTTCTGCGGACACTTCAGCTTCAAGCAGCAGCTGCAACCCACCAGTAGTGCTGACTGGCAGACATGCAGTAATGGGCTGCAAGAAGAGAGTCGAACTTACATCCGCACATCCGCGCGACATCTTACATCACCGCCAAGGACCCACCGTACTTGGATGTATATTGTTTCTCATGAAAGCTAGCTCTGTGAAGCTTGCAGGAGTTGTCGTTTGAGCAGTAGAGAACCAGGTGACAAGCGTGCAGGACCTTATCTGGCCTTTTCTCAATAGTTAAAAGGGGGGCCCCCCGCACCAATGATTCAGAGCGAACAAGGAGGGGCACCTCCCCGCCCAACCACAATATTGTACACGGTCCGCCCCCTCCTTTGGCCCCCGCCCCGCCCCCCCCCCCCACCTTAAGGTCCATTTGTTTATGCAACATGGCAACTTGCATTTTGTCGCCGAGTGCATCTCTGCAGGTTTCAAGTCTGCTGCCTCAGTAATTAGCTAAGCTTCCACCAGAACAGTTCGAAGTTGCTCGTAGATGACCGAGGCATTGCTTATGTAGAGACGTTACGGAAGTCAATGAGGACGGTGAAGGTACTACCATCGACTCTGATTTATTTTTGTGAATTTTTTCGTGGCCTCTGTTCAAGTTGACTTTGATTGCTCAGCGTAGGCACGGTCTGTTCGTGCCTAGAGGCGGTCTTGAGCCGCTGGTTTCCGTGCCGCTACTGCCTTGTGTCTGACACTTTTTCAGCTCACCAGGTCGCTACAACACACCACCTTGGAACTGTTGAGTTACCAGCAGGTTCGAGCAGTGCTTCGTGTGCACAAGGATGTATGTGGTTCGCATGCGCTGAGCAGTGTCTCAAGTGGGATCCCGAGACAAAGGAAGAGAAAGAGGTTGATTTGTTGCCTCATCGCTAAGATCTCCTGGCTGCTAGAGTACTGGTGTAGCATGATCAGGGTAAGACGAGATTTCAAACTTTCACGGTGTGTGTTGCACAGGCCTGGGAAGCATCTGGCCTTCATACCAGATTCTTCTCAGAAGGTGAAGTCTCAGCTGGAGTGCCATGACTGCTACAGGCTAGGTGCTCATTCAGCTTCTCGTCATAAAGCTGCTGTGCTCAGGTGGAACTCTTGGAGGATGTTGTTCGACAGAACGAGGCGCAATCGGTTCTGCAAATTGTTGATGGGTTACTGCAAGCTGTGTTGAAAGTGGCCCGGGAAATGATTTAGATCCTCTCAATGTCTTAGTTCACCATATTAGGAGAAATGTTCACATTATTCAAGCCTCGACAACTGGGTACCCCGAGCCGGTCAGAAGATGGAAGATGGCCCGCACTCAAGACCCGAAGCCGCTTCTCGAGGACATGCGCAGCTGGTGGAGAGATGATGAGCTTCCACCTTTGCCTCCGCTCGAACTCTGCGTTTTGGCTGAAGCAGTTTTTCTGCTTTGCCATGAGTCGGGTGGAAGGAAAAAGACCCTCCACTCCATGCCGGGTTGGTTCATGACTAGTACTCGACGGGCTTTGTGGCAGGCGGAGGCTCAGTGGGCAGCGCTCAGCGGCGAAGATGTCCAGGTGTGGTTTCCAGAAGCGCCTTTTGATGCAACGGCAGTGGAGTTTGACGGTTGAGCCTGGTGCATTTTGGCGCCCAGTCTTGTATGCCTGAATCAGTCTTCTGTCCGGGAAGTGTTCCCTGCACTGCACAGGCATGCGTTCTGCGCTGTTTGCCAGGTCGCGAGGCTGTATTTCCACCCCGAGTTTCTGGTTATAAGCCATATGGAACGCTGGAGTACCTTGGAGCATCTTCAGGGTTTCCTGTTCTGTGCCCGTGTTGATCCCTGATCTCTTGAGTTGATTCAGTGCAGGCTTGCTGGGCCGCTCCTTTTTCATCTACATTCGAGGCAGGACACTGGGTTTAACGCAAGCTGCTACGGCTTTTTTTTGCAAAGTCTTCGTACCCGCAGTGGCCTTGGCGTTTGTCCTTGCCTCTTTGCACTTCGGATTTCAGAACCCCCTGCCTTTCAATTGACAGAAATGCACCACCGGTGACGATACTACTGTAAAGTTTTGTTCGACTTGGCGCACGAGTCTCGTGCTGCACGAAGGAGACACCATTGAGATCCTTATGTGAAGAAGTGATCTTTACCAGGGACGTCGCAGCTAGCACTCTTTGCATTGAACAACAAACGCAACCGAACGTCGGCTGGCTTGCAGGAGAGACTGGATTGTATGAAGGACCGGTAGAAACTGCTTGGACATGATTTGCTACAGCATGTCAACCTGTGGCCGAAGGAACAAAAGAATCTTTGGTGTCGACACCATTTAAGACCGTGAAGAGTATCCATGAGGGCACATGTTGTCACAGATTTGGGTCTTGATCTTTTGAGATGTCGGCAGAGACATTTCAATGCTTACAGAACGCAACGCGCTGCTCCGAGGCGCCTGAAGGATGCTGACTTCAAAGATGTGGTCGACATCGGTGCAGGCCATGGCCGCACCGCTGCATGGCTCAACAACGCCTGGGGCTTCGAGGCGAAATTGTGAGATGCCCAGTAGATCCGCTGACGAATTCTGCACCTTTCACTTCTGCTGAGAAGGTCCGGGCTTTCGACGTTGTTTTACCCGAAAGTCCGGAGTTCGGTGTGGAGATGTTCGATGGTCGACAGCTTCCGTTGGAGAACAAGAGTGTTGACTGTGCTCTGGCATGGTTTGCTTGACTTTAGTTGAAGTTATCATGGTGCGCGTATGCAAGAAGGAGCTTTGTGTGGAGTTCTATTTGCTTTTGCTGTTCTCAGGTGCTCTGTTTTCATTCGTGCTGCATCATTGCCGGCACTTCGAACTGCAGAGGGCCCTGCTTCAAGAGGCGGGGACCGTGCGTGAAACCACAGGCTGGCAATGAACAGCTCTGGTGGAGGCGGCGCGCGTGTCCAGAAGCTGGATAGCCGTTTGTGAAGACACCCCAGAAGAATCCGCGCACTGGAAGGGAACTCGAGGCCTCACGGGTTCATGGCTCATGGCTGGCGGAAAATGCACGTCGTAACCATTTTGTCTTGGTCTGCCAGGACACGACCACTTGGGCCAGTTTAACTCAGCCAATGACTGGATGAAGATGTTCAACAAGATAGGACTCAAGCTATTGCGCCGGGGACGACTCTGGGAAGGTCCTCGGAAAGGGCCAAGCCCATACTTCTGCACAAGATCTTTCTTCATTCTCGAGGCTCGAACCTTCTCGAGCGACCTTGTGTGATGCAAACGCCATCAAGCTCGTCGCCAGGTGCCTGCGGACCTTTGTGCCGCCCCTGGATTTTAGCTGACCGTCTGCCATGTCTACATGTCGTCTGACTGACTCACAGCCGCACTGCACCTATTTGGAGAGCACTAGGGAGGGAGATTTCTGTGGAATCGATGGGGGGTTTCCTCGTTAAGTCCCGGCGACTCAGGTCCGCTGCCAGCAACGGGACCAGTCGGCCTTTCTAGTTGCGGCTGTTTGCCCGCGAGAGGGGCAACTGCACACCAGCGAGAATTCCTGACAGATGATGAGCGTCAAGGAGTTGTTGGGGCCGTGCATGGGCGTGCTCGTTTGGGAGTGTTGCATGACCTTTCTATGAAAAGCAGTTAATGCAATTTCACAGACATAGATCTGTGACATCAGGATTGCTCAAAGCTGCTATGGAAGCCGACCCTGTTGGAGCTGAGCTTCTGATGCAGGTACTTGGTAACTCTTTGGGCTTGGACATGTGATTGTGGTACTCGTGTCGTATCGATTCATGAGAGTCGTCGCTAAGGAGATCATTGGAAATATCAGGGCTTCTCGGTTTTGCATGCTGGGTGCAGTTGCCAGCTGCTGTCTGGCTTTCTTGACTTGGCAAGGATCGCTGGCTCAGCTGTGCTCAAGATGGTAGTGCAGACCGACGGCAACATGAGGGGCTGTTGGGAAGCAGTTGAGAAGCGTGCAAGCTGGCGTTGGCCTTCCAAGGAAGCGGACACGATCTTCTCGACTTTCTCGCAGCTGAAACTGCCCCCCAGACTCCAGCGAAACCTTCAGCTTCAAGGAGCTCAGTGTGCACTAGGTCACTAGGACTAGGCGGCATTCTGTAGCAATGCCACGCTTCATGTCGCACCAGAGCGCTCTTCGGTTCAGGAATCTTGAGGCCTTCTCCGGTCCAATGTGAGGCCATTCCTGAAGCTTTGACAGGGCGAGATCTCGTGGGTGTCGCTGCCACAGGCAGCGGGAAGTTTCTCGGCTCGATTGAAAGCAGGAGCCAAGCGGCCGCGACATGCTGACTTCCAGTTGTTTCCTTTGAGGACCCTAGCATACTTGCTGCCACTGCTCCTTCGTATCCTCTCTGCGGGGACTCCAACCGGTGCATTTGGTCTCGTACTGCTTCCAACCCGCGCCACTCGCCCTATGTTTGGAAGTCGCTCTAGCCTTCGAAATATGTGTGACTGTTGTGACCTCTCCTGTGAAGGAGCTGGCACTTCAAGTGGCCGCATGTGCCGAAGCTTTGATCGGCCCTGGCGAGCAGGACGGGGTTCTGGAAGATTTTCGTTCGGCGAGGGGAAGCATCCACTACCGCGCTTTCCCATGTAAAGTCAAGCTCCAGCTTGGTTCCATTTGGTTCCCACATCTCCAGGACGGACTTGGCCAGACTTGTTCCGACGGCGATGGCGTCGACTTTGAGAAGCAAAGTGATGATGAATTGTCGCGCTTCGTGTTTGCTGCTGCTTCGCGAGTTGCACGTTGTTTCACTCCATGTTGCAGAAGGTAGCTGCAATGTCAGGTCTCGAATCTCTATCGTGTCCATCTTTGGAGGGGCCTCGCGATGGGAACAGCAGCATCAGCTGCAGCATGGGAGGAAGTGGCCAGATTGCCAACTTCCAGGCAGGTCACCGGTGCCGCATAGGGGTGCTGTGCTGGCTGTTTTTGGAAGTTGGCTGTTGTCTTGAAGGCCATGCATGGGTGATTGCTGCCACACCGGGGCGCCTGCTTGATCTGGTTTGCAGTGAGATGGACGAAGGCGAGTCGGAAAGAGCGACACGGGTTTGAACTTCGGGAGCTTGAGCAGGTCGCCGCCCCTTGCAAAGCGTGCGGGTGCTGGTGCTGGATGAGGGCGACAGGAGAGGCCGAGAGAGGCCGAGAGGTCTCCCCCGTTCGGCTCGCGGCTCACAGATGCTCGCAGCTCGCAGGATGCTGGAAGAGGGTCTGGGTGACCAGCTGGATGCTGTGGTCCGAACGCCCTGATTGACATGCCAGGGGTGTTTCTTGAGTCAGAAGAGGAGTAAGGATACCTGATGCAGATTAACTTTGGTTTGTAAAGGGTTGGACGCTTCCGCCTTGTGCCCAATGGCGGGACCAGAGGTTTATTCGTACTCGTACTTGCAGGACTCCGTAAGATGCACAGTGCCAGGCACGCCGCGCAGCGCCGTTGCGCCAGACTCTCTTCTTCTCGGCGACATGGTGTGAAGACAAGGTACAATTGCTAGTGCTACGTGCAAGGTTTCTTCTTTCTTCGGTGTTGACCCTCGTCATTTGGCGTATTCGATGTGTCACAGGTTTGCATGTAACAGGTCGGGAAACCAGCCGCTTGTTTTTGCCGGCAAATTCCGGTCACCACCTCAGCTTGGAAGCATGTTCGGCGCAAGACTGTTTCGCTTCCAGCCTGCGAGAGTCTTATGCAAGGTCATCCTACGAATTGGGTCAGGCCAGGAACGGTGCATGGGGTAGTTCTTTTGCTGCTGGTTGCCCGGTCGTCTGCAGTCGAACGCAAGGTGATTCAGCTGAAGATTCGTTGAGGCAGAGCTGTCTGGCAAACAGGACTTCCAGTGCATCCTCCGTTGCCCGCCTGTGAACCCCGCGTGTGAGGAACATTCATCAGATCGTCGAGGTATTCGATGCTGAGGAGTCGGAGGACACAGCGTTGGACACAGCGGGATGCTTCGCTCTTGCCTGGTCCATCGGAGCTCTGAAGGAAGAGCGAGAAGAACGGAAGCTGTCTCGGCTTCTTGAGCTTCTGAGAGTCCTGTCTACAGACAATCCGCGAAATTCTGTAAGGGCTTCTGTGCGACAGGGAGTGATTTGCCAGCTCAGGACTCGAACTGCAGTTTACCAGGCCGGACCAGGCGCGGCCTCCAGTGGCCCAAGTGTAGCGCACTCATGAGCACCAGCAGATGAATGGCACAAAAAATCCCGCAGCTTGATTGGATGGCAGGCTTGCCATCACCTTATCACAGCAGGGGTGGGGGGGGGGACAGGCCCGGGACAGAGTCCGTGAATCTCATTCCAAAGAGCTCCGATAGTGAGCACTGCACAGCCCACAGAGACGGAAAGCATTTTGTAGCTGGAGTCAGTTGAGAATCCGATCCAGCGGATGTTTCTCCATAGGCGACAGAGAAGCCATCACCCGATTTGAATCCCGGTTGGGGTCCTTGCATGCCTATGGGAAGGAAACGGGAGTCTTCAAAAATACCATGCAGTGAGGACAGTGAGTTTGGCCCCCTATGAGCCAACCGACGAGACGGGCCTGACGCGTTTTTTGCGGCTGACAGGTCGATAGAGGCGAGGACAGGGAGAGTCTTCGAAAGGCTCTCGTATTTTGCATGACGAAGAAGTTTGCAGAGTCTTCGATGCAAGGACGATATTGTGATAGCGGCTGTTGCGTTTAGTTTGTCCGTGTTGCCTGTGTGTGTGAGATCACATCGACAAGCCCAAGCATTTCTGTTTTTTTTGCTCGTGCCAACTCATTTCTACATGAGCATCTCCAGCAGAGGAGACTTTGGTGGCGAAGCTCGGCGCATCAGGCTGCTTTGATCAAGCTTACAGCTCGGCTGACAGAGTCTCAATATGCCGCAAGCAGAAGCAGGTGCAGGCTTCAAGTTGTATTTGCACGGATGATACCTTCACGTTTGCAACATCGTTTGTTCACAGCTCCACTGGCAGCGAAATTCTCAAGGCTGCCCGGCTGTGGCCGTCCACGGCAACAAGACTCAGACAGACCCTCGGCGCTCTTCACTGTTTTCTCAGGTGTTGCATACCTGAATCTTGAACTGCTTTCGATTGCATCTCGCATTGATTTATCCGATTGCGATTGCAGGGCATTGGGTGCACCACGGCGACGTGCGTTCGCTTAAGTTTCAGAGTTCTCATCTTACACGCATGTCTGGGCCGAGTTGCTGCCCCGTGTCAGTCCTTAAATTCCATCCGTGTTTGCGCACGCGCGCGCCTCTGTTCCGAAGAGATGAAGTAGCAGTAAGCTTTCGAAGTGATAGCAGGGGGGCAAGGGCTCCAGTGTTCAGCCTTGCCCAACGAAGCCAAATCAATGGAGTGGATGCAGTGGCTGATCAGCACTGTGTACCTGCTTTCGGATTAGCCAGTGGGCCCCCTGAGGCACTGGAGTAACCAACACTAGAGTGACAGCTTCATGCTTCTTGTCATCCGTCTTGCAATCTTTCGAGTGACTGCAAAAGTGTAGGAATGAGCCTTGAGATCCGTAACCTGGAATGTGAATTCTCCGAGCTGCTTTATTGAGCTGACTTCTTTGAGCAGAGTTCGAGACCTGTGACACTTTGTGTCAAGTGTGTGCACTTCTCTCGTTCATGAGATAAAGGGTTCGCAACGCAACCCTCCTGATTGGTCAAAATTAGAGCTGTGTTTGGATTCAGTTTGCACCGGAGCAGTTTTTCAGTACATGGTTTGCAGGGGGACACAGCATGTCACTGGGACTGCGTCCAACGAAGCTACCAGTGACATGGGGACTGATCATCCGCTTGTACCTGCAACAAAGTTTGTGACATTTTGTATTGTCTTGCATGCACAGTTGCTGCAATCTGTCACATGCATCATGGCTCTCAAATGGTTCTACATCACATGCACAATAGTCGGCTAGTGTAACGTCCCCTGTGGACATCCATCCGGGAGTGCAGACAACACTTCTTCAATGTGTGTGTGTGTGTTTGTGCTCACGAGGGTAGGTTTAAAGAAGGCTCTTTTTAATGTTACACTAAATGACAACGTCTCACAATGATGCTGAACTTCTCACGCATCGAGTGTTCCTCAATCCAGTGACGGGTGCTTGGTCATCGTTCCTTCATACAGAAAGATGGAGATAACGAAAGCAACCAAACAAACCTTAAAGAGAGCTAGACAGTCAGAGACAAGCATATACGGACAAAGACAGAAAGAAAGAACGACAGAGACTATGGCGAGGGACGGAGACAGCCAAAAACCGCCCCACAATTTGCAAGTGAAAGAAACTCGACAGCTTCACTCATTGAAAGATCAGTGATCAGTATCAGACACGTGACTGACCTCACGGCTGCTCGAGCCTTGCTGCCTTGTGTGTCGCAGAGTTTCAGCGAGGAGCGCTTGCAGAACCTGGCCGCTTTCGCAAGTGCCACCTTGCAGCTCGGCAGCCCTCGAATGGCGGGAAGGTGAAGATGTTGTTGCCGTCAGAAGTTTATTTCTCCACAGAAGTCCATCGCAACTACAGCTGCCCGTGTGGTGGCGCCGCAATATCGACTCAGGCAGGCTCCTCGTATTCTGGTGGCAACAGATGTGCTGGGCCGTGGAATCGATCTTCCCAATGTGCTCCTGGGCTGACAGAAGCGCAAAGCTCGGCATTGAACTTTGGCCTTCGTGCTCCGCGGCACGTTGCAATTACTCCCTAAACCTTCTCAGAAACTTGGCTTCCAAGGACGCACGTCTTCGTCTATGACATGCCCGGCTGCATCGAGGATTATGTGCACCGCATTGGGCGGACGGCACGAGGATTGGATGGCCAGGCGCCGTGAGAAGCTGAACCCTTACTTTCGAGAAACGACTATGCGAGCTTTCGCTGTCTCGGGTGTGGGTCGGGTGCTGGTGCGACCAGGGCAAGTCCATCACCTTCTTCGAGTTTGCACCTTGCGTGCCAAACCTTGCAGAGGAGAATTCGGCAAAGTGCGAGTGATCCGCGTCAGATACTTCTGCGAGCGAAGCACAGTAAAGTGCACTTCAGTAGTCTCAGGCCCAAGATATTTCCAACCAGTGCCTCCGGCACCAGCCTACTGCAGAATCCATGAGTTTCGTGACTGTCGCGACCAAGAGTAAAAACAGTGCAGGCAAACAGTCATGGAAGAACGTTCGAACCGAATTTAAACGACAGCAGTTGGGAAAGGACAGATAGTACAGGGAAGAGATTTCGGTAGTTTCAAACGAGAGGGGATAAAACTGGGTTGGGGGGCGCACACGACGCCTGGCAACATAAGACGTTGCGCAGTTGCACATCAGAGCTCGATAGCGGTTAAGAAGGGCAGCCAAGGCTCCGAAGTCCTACAGACAATGCGGGACTGGTGCTTCAATGATCTCTGCTGCACCCGAGCATTAATGTCTTTAGCTCGTAGGCAGACCGGGGTGCCAAGCGCGAGTGGAAGGAACTGGCTCATCATCTGGCTGGCACGTCTCAGCACATTCCCGTGCAGCTGCAGCGGATAGTGGAGGCCTATGCGCGGAGATCAGATCAGTGAGCATCTTGCGAGTACCATGCGTGCAGAGAGGAAGTTGCATCTGGAAGCCGAGCTCCAGGGAAAAAAACCCGGACCAGAGAGGCCAGATGAGTTAGGCTGACGATTTCACCTCAGCAGTGTGCAATTATCTTTTTTCCCAAGGGTGAGACGAACGACCAGCAGACAGCCAGTGCCTTCGGACGAATGATCTCCACCTTGGTAAGATGGTTGTAGGTGACGGATTCAAAGGGGTTGGATCTATTACTTGCATGGAGATGAGCATCTAGGTGCCATACTGTCAGAGACCCGAGCTGAGGCATCCCTCGCAGCCCTCATGTGGTTTGAGGATAGTTGGGATTCAGAGGAGGGGACGAACTTGGATGCAACCTGTGTAGAGCAGTGCAAGCTTCTGTAATTGAGGTCTCACGGATCTGGCGACGCCGGAAGAGCTGGGTGATTGGAATGCTGGTGGCTATCGGCTCTTCAGCTTTTGTAGCTGAAGCGTGAGTATCTGGTTTCCTGTCCTGTTGCTTCAGAAGCTTAGATCCTGGATGATCGTGGCGTGGCATCACTTCAGAACTTGCTTTGTGGAACATGTCCCGTCGCCCAATTTTTGAAACGTGGCTTCGTGTTCGGAGGAAATGAATGCGCCGCTCGGCACACGAGAGAGCAAGGCACAGGCTGGAGCTGGAGAGCTGGATTCTGTGTGCATCAGTGCGGTGCTGATGTTTTCCAGGACACTGGCTGGCTGGTGTTTGGCAGTGCAGGCGTCCTGTACACGGACCGCGGCCACGGTCGCTGGAAGTTGGAGGAGGCATTTCGAGAGACTTCAGCAAAGCTGCCAGCTGTTGCAAGCTTAGCTCATATTGCTCTTCATGCTGCAAAACGTAGTCGTGACATGGTTCATTCGTAGCAAAGTAACCCCGATCAAGTCTAGCATCAAGCACGGGTTGGTGGCTATGACATTAGTATGTCCAGCAGTAGAGTAGCGTGTGCCAGTTCAGGTATAGATAGAACATGTGTAGACACATGTAGTTCTATGTCGATTATATGACTACATCAAATTCAAGGCATATAAGTATATGCACCTATGCTTGTTGAGTACGTAAAGCAGTGTAGATATACGTGTGTGTAAAAATAACTGAATCAATGTATATATATATATATATATATCCGTATGTGCTACCCCTCATGTACCCGCGCTTTGTATCTGAATCGTCCTCGATCATGGTCGTGTCCCCAACCGTTTCTAATCTCCACTTCCATTGTTGGTCGCATCTAAATACATTAAGTTACTACTATGCCCGTCTATGCCAGTATCAGCTGTAGTCTCACTACTAAATTTACCAATGATACTGTTACCATCACCACTATCTTTATTACTGTGGTTATTGTCACCGTTCTGGTTGCTGGAACAATACCAACCCATTTAGGACTGTACCTCTCCTTCCCTTACACTTTGTCTTGTTACAGACTCAGACTTCTAGGTGCAGTATTCCTCTGTGTCAGGGTACGTGGTAAATTGCTCAACAGGTGCTATGACATAAATCAGAAATGATAAAGTAAATGCATTAGTTGTTGAGTCCTATGTTTGTTCACTGAGAAAACGTAAACCTACATGCTGCTATATACAGTATACTTGTTTATATATATATATATATATATATATACACTGACTGTTTGAACATTCACACCTGTGCTTGCCTGTTGCCAACATACACAGACACTCCAAACCGAACAGCGGCATGTTCAGCTACCACATCTTTTCCTCAAAACCAGCTGAAAGATGTGTGTTATTGGTGATGACCAGCGAGAATTCTACATGTTTTGATTGCTTATTCAACTCCTCTTGACCATATCATAGAGCTTTGGGTGCTTATTGAACGAGTTTGTTGTTGTACTCGCGTACTTGCTTTTTTTAGCCAGCTGCGAGTTTACATGTTTATTCTGAGTTGACTTCATCTCAAGCCTGTGCATCGTTTAGGTCCTGTCCATCCTGTAACTCTGATTTGATATGTTTTAGCAGCAGTGTTGTAGAAGTTTCGCATCGTTAATGATGGCCACTAAACATTCCTGTATATAAGAGTGTTGATTTGAATTGCTGCTATTGCACTGGCTAGGGCTCTTTACTGTAAGCGCAGGTGAAATCCAGACAGAAACGCCAGCACACCAATAAAGACACCCGCAATGCAACTGTGAAGCGACAGAAGTTTAAGTACGTTGTACATGTACATTTAGAAGAGTGTAAGTTAAGCCAGTACACTTTCCGGATAATGCTAGTTTCCCACAGGACAGTCTTCAACCGTAGACGAAGAGTATAGTTCTGTACATGATGAACACACCTAGACAATCAGGCAATCTATTTTTTGGTCTTCTTTTTGCAGCGTCTTGAAGCAGAGATTAATCCAGAGTTTCGTACAGGACGAAAGGATACAGACTGATAAGAACTTTGGTAAGAAGGAAGTACCTTACATGCTTCTTCAATCACATCCATGTGCGTGAAAAAGCAACACTGTATTGGCTTTGTTCAATCCGCTAAACTATCAAACTAGTGATTAGACCGATTGAATTTTGTCAAGTTTATAAGGACTTGCCAAGTGGGTAGTTAGAAGCTCCATCGGCGTGAAAACTGCGTTTCCTAGTTGTACAATGCTTCTGGCTTTGAACCAGCCAAGGTTGAACTAAACGAACTTCTGGATGTCTCTCAGACTCCTTTGCTGTGCTAGTCTAACCAATAAAATAGAAGTGACGGGATTGGTCGCGACAATGATGAGAGAATTCCTTGTCTGAAAGAGTCAAGCACATGGAGCATTTTGGTTATGTTACCCCGTCAATTTTTCATTCGGGCTGGGATCCAAGAACCAAGATCCAAGATTTCAGGGGATTCTTGCGGGGGCAGTCTTAGATCCAGCAACCACCCGAATCATCCGAATCATTTCCGAATTCCTTCGATTCAGGCCCGGATCCAAGATCCAAGACTTCTTGTCAATCTTGGATCTTGGATCCGGGCCTGAATCAAAACGATTCGGATGATTCGGGTCGGTGTTGGATCCAACATTGCCTGCGCAAGACCCTCCCAGAAATCTTGGATCCGGGCCTGAATCAACATGATTCGGATGATTCGGGTCGGTGTTGGATCCAACATTGCATGCGCAAGACCCTCCCAGAAATCTTGGATCCGGGCCTAAATCAAAATGATTCGGATGATTCGGGTTCCCGCCCTTGTCAATCGAATGCATTTTGAATCTGTTGGAATGCGAATTGTTGCAGTTTGGAATGTGCATTTTGTATTTCGAGCCTATCGTTCTGTGAATAGTCGTCTCTTTGTGCTCCATAGATATCGTGCTGTTCATTGCGGAACCTTAGCACGAATGCTGTACTTTTTGGGTTTCTGTGTTGTTGGTACCATTATTGGATCCAAGGTTGCCCGTGCAAGACCCCCCACAAATCTTGGATCTTGGATCTTGGTTGTGGGCCCGAATCAAAATAATTCGGACAAAATTCGGATGACTCGGGACAGGGACTGGTTCGGAAGAAACCCAGAATGGTTCATACGTTTGAATATGCTGTATCTTGGTCCGGGGCGAGAGTTTTGTTTTTGAAGATAAGAAAGATAGTTACGATCTACAAGCCCTCCCCCTGAAGCTGACATTCAGGAGAAAGGCGTGGGTACGAGGGTATCCCAAGAACTCACGCCTTCCCAAAGCTGAGATTTAGAAGAAAGGCGAGGGTACATGGGGGTGGGGGTCTCCATACATATATATATATATGTCTGTGTCTATATGCATATAAGTGTATATATATATATACTACATATATATATATATATAAATATACATATATATATATATACATATATATATATATATACATATATATATATATATATTCAGTATATATACATATACACACACACACATACACACATGGACACACGTAGTGCATGTATACATGCATTTACTTCTTTTGCTTGGCATCCAGATAATATCTATAGTGATTTCGTTTTGCATATTGTCAATGTCTGCAGTCCAATCTCGGTATATATATATACACATACGTATACACACGGTTACGGACATCTTGTTGTTCTTGTTGTCCTGTCACTTCACTTTCGTGACTGACTTGCTGCAGCTTCGTTACTTGCTTGCTCACATCCGCACTCAATTGCTTGCTCACTTTTTTTGCTCACTTGCTGGCTTGCTTACTTACTTGCATACTTACCGACTTACAATTCTCTGAATTACATGTTAAAATTCAAAGCTGAATAGACGTACAAGCAACTATGAGCGTATGTATGTGTGTGCATATATATATATATATACACACATTACGTAGTGAGCAGCATAACACGTTAGTTAGTGAGTCCGAACCTGCTGCACAATCACATAGAGTAAGCTCATCACTGAGCAGGTCAGTGTATAGGCGATCAAGAACAAGATACATGTGTTGTTTCTACATCGTAACTGTGAGGGGCTCACGAGCGCGTGCATAAGTATATATGCATGCATGCATGGGTGTACTTGTGCATGTATGAACGTACGATTGTATGGATTTACACATTCACATATGTTTATCTGTTTGTATCTATGTGAACACTCGACTTGGTTGCATCCGCAAAAAGGTCTATGCATGTATCTATGTATGTAACTATGTATGTGCCTGCCTATCTGTGTGTGCATCTATGTATGTATGTATGCATGCATGCATGCATGCGTCCATGAATGGATGGATGCGTGTATGTCTGATGCCTGCCTGCAGGCATCCATGCATGCGTGTCGGTTTTTGGAGATTGAGACATGTGTGCCTACACATATATGCCCACATGGCCTACATACATGCTTGAATACATGCCTACACAGGTACGTAGCTACGTGTGTACGTGCACACACATGCTCAAGCCCAGCTTGAAAGACAAGCGCCATCTGCCACTGCTAGTGCCAGCATCACGGGGTTGGGAACCGACGAAGCCAGGAGCACATGCTTGTGAACTTCGGAACTTTGGATCTCCGCCTCACTCTTCGCAAGATCTGGAATGGGAGGAAGCATCCCAATTTCCTTGCCGAGGTGTCTCGGAGATTTCATGGTTTTGTGTCGGTTTGCCTCTCCCAACTGAATCGGATGTTCTCTCTCAGCCCAAGCCCCGCGTGTGTTTCAGCCTTGTTTTGTCATGGCGAGTTGGATCTGGCGATCTGTTTCTATATGCAAACAAATCTCCATGTTTGCATTCCTGGGCGCACATAGCCAGCCTAGAGACCTCCCATCTGAGCTGCAAGCTGCGCCATTCCTGTGCAAAGCCGTGCACGCAAGGACAGCAATCTTATGGAAGCGGGTGTTTCCTTGAGTGGATGGGTGCAGAGGTCGACGAAGACGTACAAGTTCCAGGACGCAACATCGGGCTGGTGCGGGGTATTGTGGCTCGTTCTCGCACGGGGGCAGTTCAGAGCCGGGTCGTCGTTACGCGTGGTTGGGAGGCGCATATCCTCTGACTGTTTGTTTGCAAATCGGCCGTGGTGCTAGGCCCATGCTTCCACTCGTAGGAAGCACGCACGGCACGAGGAGTCCTGCATGGTTCTGCCGTATCTTGCATGTTAAGGTGAAGAGTCACGAGGTATGATCTGCAATACTACACCACACCACCCTTTTTTTACATCCACACGCTCTCACCGCTTCTGAGCGAGAGGAGCCCAACCGTTCTCAAGACTGACCATCGTGCGGCTGCAATCAGCTCGGGAGAGACGAAGATGCTCGATGTGCCGGCACCACGTAAAAGGGCAAAAAATCAGATAGCGCTTTAGACTTGCTGCCAGTGCGTCGCTGGAGCCCGCGTGCAGGTCATTGGAAACACGGTTTCATGATGTTCCCCATTAGCCATGCCCTCATGTCAGGCTGGCGCCGCTGTCAGTCGGGTCGAGACCATGCAGAAGGCTGGCTCCAGTTCTTACACGTGGTTACGTAATTGCGGTACCTTGGCCAGTGGATCCAGACCTTTGTGGCAGGCCTCTGCTCCGCAAGCAGCGCGACTTGTGACCACGACCATGCCAGCACACCCTGCACATCCTACACATTCTGCGCACACTACGCACTCGCAGCTGCAGGCCGAGAAGGATTGCAGCTCTCGTATGCTTGGTAGGATGCGCTGTTCCATGTTCTGCCTGATCATGTCGATTCACGAGGAGCTGCTCACCGAAGAAGCATCGGAGGCGGGTCGCATACTTTCCTCTTGCATCAGCTGGAACCGAAACATGAACAGGCAGCTGAGCATGGGCGTCAGCAGATTTAACCTGTGTGGCAGTGGAGCAGCATGCCAGAGGGCACACGAGGAAATGCTGGAGACCCTCTGGCAGTATTCTCTCACCGGAAATATCAATAAGTAATAGTAAATCATTTCCATCCTTGTTATTGTTTCCTACATCCCTGACTCCTGTCGTTCCTGGGAAATACACATCGCGAGTAGGGTTCCATGTCGTCATCATTTCCACAGCTCCCCGCTCGCCCTGCCCGGAAACATGAATCCTGGGATGAGAAACCAGGTCATCATGATCATTACTACGATAATCAGTACTACTTTTATTCATATGAGTCTTGGTTTTCTTGTCATTGTGATTCATGTCATTCTTACTACTAAATATTATTTGTATGATTATTGTTGTTTTGATTACTGGTGCTCTTATCAAAGTTATGACGATGATTATGATTGTTACTGTTCGAATTATTGTCAATCTCAGCATTTCATAGTTTTGTATTATCAGTACTAGCTGCGCTCCCCTTACGACGCAAGCAGCTCCCTCATCAATGCTCTCTTGGCCGCAGTTATCCCGGGAAAAACCATTGGGATGGTTATTTCGGCACAAAATGACGATCCCTCGCCCGCCGGCTTCACCCCCCACAGGGAAATCTTCCAGGGACGAGCCAAAGGAAATACGGAAACCTTCCTGCCCCCCACACCCTTTGACCGCAATCTCCAGCGTTGCTACTCCCCCCCGACTCCTGACTACTAAGCCCCCTTTTCAGCTCGGGAAATCATGAAGATGCAATAAAGAATAGGAAGCCATTTCAGCCATGCAGCAGGCTAAAGCCGAAAGCACAGCTCTGCGCGGACAGCTTAAGACTTTGGAGGCCCGTCAATAGCACTTCCGTCGGAAAATGCATGAGCATTCTGCATTATATAGCATCTCCACTGCCATGTTTCAACAATAGCAGTCTCGGTTTTGCATCCAGGAGTACTCGTGGATTTTTCGCCTGAAGTTGATTGCTCGATTTGACTCGTTGCTTGAAAGTCCTGGAGTGAAGCAGCACCTGTCAGGCTCGCTGTGAAAAGCAAGCCTTGCAGGCCTTGAGTACCTCCACGACTCCAGATGCTGCATTTTGTTGCGTACTAGCAGTCTGCCTCTACATGTCCACAACAGGTCGCAGAGCTCTCGCTTGAACCGGCGCAGATCGTGAGATCCTCGGTCACATCTGCCCATGATCCACTTTTATTTTGGGGTCGTAACAATACGAACAACAGTGAAGGCTCGAGCAGCCAGCATCAATGCTAGGACGTTGTCTTTTGGAGGCTCCTTCGCCCAGGCATGGGGGCTAGGCATGCCATAACATTCCCCTCTGTGTTGTCCTATGACATTATTTCTGGGAGGGCTTTGCCAGGATACCCTCTGTGCTGTGCTATAACATTATCTCTGGGAGACTCCTGAGCCTAGGCATGGGGGCTAGGCTGTGCCATGACATTCCTCTCAGTGCAATGCTGTGACATGGTCTTTGGGAGACTGCGCCAAGGTCGCCCCATCTCAATTGAATGCATTCGGTTACTACTGGAGCCGTTTTTTCACGGTGCAGGCCGTGATCATGTGGAGTGTGGACCGGCTAGAACAGCCGAGATTGCACCATCTTGGTGCTTCGGAATACGTGTGTGACTCCCACAGTGTCGCACGAGGCCATTGTGCGAGAGCACGTCTTCCAAGGGTGCCGTAGCGATCTGTTGTAAACAGACTCCCATGCCGCAGCCCACCCGTTGCAGTGCCTAGGGAGTTTTTCTGCAACAGCTCTTGTCCAACTCCCGAAGTTTCCCTCGCAACGCCCCCATTCCAGCCAGACTGACTCACCACTTTCCGGAAGGGCCTCAGTGCCAGGATGCCTGCTGTGATTATCTGCCGGATCCCGGCACAAGCCAAGCTTCGGGATGGACGTCCTGTTGGAGTCGCTTCTTGAGCGATGCCGAGCTGGAGAACTGAACGAGGGCATGAACTTCTCTTTCGGGAACCGTGATGGAGGCAATGTTGTGCCGGAGTTCGAACGCCTGCGCGGGATTGGCGAGTCGTGCAACTCCTGCGTCCATAGCCCCGATTTGTGATCTCGAAGATCTCCAACTGCCACTTGTCATAGAGCAGTAGGTCTCTGATGTGAGGTATCTCTAGTTTCTGCTACATTTACTGTCATGTTGCGCCTTGCCAAATTATGAGACACATGCCACGTCTCCGCAAGGAGCACTGCGCAACCGATCCGCACCTCTCCCTTCTTGCCGCTTGGCTTGGGCGTGTCGTTGCCGTCTGATTCTGTGTGGTTGCAGTACTGTACGACTGTATGTCACAGGCCTGAGATGCAACTAGTTGTCACGTGGCAGGACGAGTGCCAGTGATTCAGGAGCCCATCATAATCCATCAATGACCCGGATTCCCGTCGAGCAGCACCGATGCCACCCTGCCGGATGGTTCAAGCCGGACCAGCCGCCTGCGGTGAGAGGAGGGTCAGCCGTTATGTGCCACTGCTCCAACTGTACCGACAGGAGCTCGCTAGTGAGGCCGTGTCTGTTTGTTTGTCTATGTGTCGCAGACTCAGAGCTATGGCAGCTGCTGACGAAGCTCGAAGTTATTTGCGTATGCAGTCAGGCCTCCGCAGACGTGGGATGATTGGTTAATCGATGAACGCCAGCCGGCGCAGCTGATTCCTGCGACTTCGTACCCTTCGGCAATGACGTCGCCGCTCTGTGGTGATGGAATGACCGATCCGCGGGTCGCCTTGGTCTCCTGGACACAAATGTCGGGTGAGCTGCAACAGCTCGTGAAGCAAGTACGGAGATCAGGAAGTCTGCGCGTGACAGCCTCTACGACCGCAAGCCGTCGCCGAAACATGTAGTCCTTTGGCACGAGGTGCTCAGTTGCAGATCTCCCACAACCTTCTGAACCAGCCAGCGATCAAGCACTCCCCTGATGTTGCTCTCGGCGTTGTCGGTTTCTTCGTGAGCTCCGTGACCCCTTGGCTTCAGTGGTCGGCATAAATGAGCGATGGGGAGCCTTCGCCGAGCCGAAGGAGCTCTGGTTGGTTGGGTTGGCCCGACGACGGCGCCGGGAGTTCACGGGTTCTAAGGTCGACTTCGCCGAAGTGTCGCGTTTGCGATTTGGCGCAAACCCGGGGGCCAGCCACGATGCTTTGCCAGCCATGAGGACTTCACCTATGCCACGGAACGTGGCGAATAAGACGCGTCGCCGTCGCCTTAGACATTTTCTGGAGCACAGGCGGCCCGGAGTCGCGCTCATGATGTTGGACACCGAGGATTGAGGACAGGAGAAACAGCGGGGCTCCACTGTTGCAGGACTCACCGACATGTTTGCCGTGGACCAGCGGACCAGCGGGAGCATGGCCACTCCTTCTGTACCCCCGAGCACCCGGCAGTTCCACCATATGGGAGAGCAGTGGCTGGATATGCCTTGTCTCTAGCGCCCGTGGTCCAACTTGCGAGGGATGGTGACTACATCGCTGCCACGGACCTGGAGGAAGGACTATCCGTCGCAGAAAGCAGAGGGTCAAGAAGCGAAGCAAGAGGCGAAGCTTGAAGGGAAGCACGTAGTACCAGGTCGTCGGGCAGTGCTCCTATGGCTAAAGAGAATTTGCCGGGCTCGCCTGAACTCATCTCTGGCTATTTCCAGGAACACCCATGCCGGCCCCGCAAATGTCAACAACATGAACTACATCGTCGCCATAGTTCAAGGGATGTGATGGAAGGAAGTGCACGGCTCGAAGATCCCGGGCGGGGCAAGCTGCGGAAGCATCGCGAGAAGGATCCTGGGCCTCCGACAAGACCCGGTTCATGTGCTGAAGGATGCCTTCCGCGACCCCACCATCGGAGTGGTGAGACGAGCGAAGTTAATCCCAAGACACTTTGTGTCTCTCGCTGGGTGGGCCTTGGCGTTGTCGTCATGCAGACTCCGTCTGTCGCATGGGTGGCGGAACAAAAAAAACTTGCGATGCGTACCTGTCTGTGGAGATGCTCACGCGAGCAGCTCGCGGCTGCGTTTTTGCATAAGTGCTGGGCCGACAGCTCGCCCCAGATCCACAGCTAAGTGACCTTTGAGGAAGGTGATCTCCGCAAACCACGCAGGGGCGTGCGCGGAGACACCGCCAAGCAACGAGGATCAGCTGCGCCTGTGAATCAGGGCAGGTTGGGCCCAGTCCAGAGGAGGTGCCAGCACTTGTGGTCGCTGCAGTGTTGGGTGCAGGAGCTTGCTCAGGAGCTGGATAAACAAGAGCACGTTCGATCAAAGCTCCGGCGAAAACCTTCTGAAATTCTTTGCCGCCGCCTGAGAAGCCGAGAGTGCTGGGCAGATGACTGCTACAATGTGGCTCATCGAGGCCGAGCCGCGGCATAGCGAACCTCCTGGCAAGACGGTGCTGCGAAGCCGATCAAGGATTCTCGAAAACGCCGAAGCAAAGGCCGGCGAGGCCCGAAGCCATGTGCCTTCGACGAGTATTTGGACAAGACAAAAACTTATGAAGCGACGATGGCACACGCTTGCGACACTTTGCACACCTTAACGAGTGAAGTTCTTCGCGATGTCAGGACCTGCTCCTCGCCTTTTCCCAGGCCACGTGGCAAAATGGACACACTGGAGACTGACCGTCCTCGTCCGGACTCCTTCGACCGAAGGCATGATGGCGTTTCTACGCACCGGTCCGGGACTGTTGGGACGCTCTTTCTCCTTCTGTGGCGTCTGCAATGCTTTCTGCCAGAGTGACCCCTCAAGCGGCCAAGGGGTCCTTCATCCTCGCAGCCGACACACGGGCTGGGACTGCCGAGCATCATCGACGTCCCCGTCTATTGATTGGGCGATGCCCCTGCTTTTTGGAGGAGCACCGTGGTTCATGTTTTGGCAGATCAAAAGTTCGTGAGGAACCTCGTGGTGCTGTGAGCCGTGCTGGTGGATGAGATTTTCTGAGGTGGGCGAGAATGAGGCTAGGCATGTCTGAAGTCGACTGGATACAAATCATGATCAGGGATGCCACCGCCCACGATGTCAATTTTCGCTCCTGGAGGAAGTGCCTCTCGGTGAGACTTCGTCGACCCCAATGCGCCGTCACCGATGCGAAGTCGCTTTGCGACTGCTTGCTGAAGGAGCATCCGCAAGGAAGACAAGATCGTCGCAGTTCCCGGGAGTTGCCCATCATTGTCAAGGACCGCCAAGAGACTCGATCTAGAGTTCGGTGGGTGGGTGGGCGCCGCACCAGAAGATGCTGGCGGACACATGCGGAAGCCAGGCGAATGGAGCATTGGAACAGATGCTGAAGACAGGAGTGTTCAGCCATGGATGTCACACAGGAGTTGGCCACCCGGGCTTCAGACTTGAGACTGCAAATTTCGTGCTCGAAGCCACAATGCTCTGCAGCCCGGCTGATGCGGGAGTCCAAGCCCGAAGTTCCGGTCAGCTCTTATTTGGGAGTGCTGTGAAGAGCACTGTGAAGACCATCCTGATGCCTGAGGAATCCATCATTGACCAGGTTGCCAATCAGCACAAACGACGCCCTGCCGGATGGGTGAAGCCGGACAAGCCGCCAGTGGTGATGAAACGGTTTGCGGTTGTGTGCCACTGCTCCAATTGTTTCGATAAAGACTTGGGTCGCGCGAATTCTTGTCAGAGGGTCACCTGACTTGTTCAGAGATTCGTTTTCGTCCCTAGTCTCAGTTGCGCCCGCCTGCACGCGCTTTTCGTGCTGGTCGCCTGCTTTGCATGAGCTTCGAGGGCATGCTATGACCACAGCCTACAGCCGTACTTCATTCCAGTACCAACGGTTTCTCATATGCTCCGAAGCTGCTCGGCGCAAGGAAGTGAGTGTGACACGAACACAAGAAAAAACCTTTTGGGCATGCTGCGCTCGGGATGGTCAGCGGTAATCATCTTTGGTAGGGTCATTACCTGAAGAAGATTGTGTCTCGGGACCCATTCGATGTAGCTATACGTAGCTTTAGAAATGCTCGGCACATCGCATGCCCAGGTTCGGCGCTTGCAGGGCGAGGTGGCCTTCCTGGAAAATCGAGTCCTAGAGCAGCAGGCAGATTGCCGAGACAGTGAGCACTGCAGCACGACGGACCGTTCATTGATTCACTGGAGTGCAGGCAGCGCTGGAGGTTGGTGCAAAGAAAGCCGAGCTGACCTTGCGCGCCGAGCTAGACGTGAAGAGCCATGAGGCAAGCCGAAGTCGAAGCACCGGAGCACCGACAAATCAAAAATCCTCGGATCCGGCCGATGAGGGCAAAAGGCTTAAACCCGGGTTGGGCATCAGTGTCTAGTTTTCCTTGCAGCGGGCACGATACAGGCATAGCTTGCTGTAAACTCCAATGAGCGGTGCCCGCTGTGTTTTTTTTCCGCCGCTGTTCTTCTTTGGGTTACATGCAGGTTCTCACTCTGCGGCGGACAATGGAAGCTCGGGAGAACGAGGTAGCTGGTTGCATGCTGTTTCAACCGCGGGTCATTGTTCATCACCTGGCTCTGGCATTCCCAATTCTCGATGGTTTTTGTTGACTGGATCTCAGACTTTCGAGGTCCGTAGGTACCAGCAAGAGTTGGAAGCGATCATTGCTGAGCTTTCTGCAGCTTGGCAGCTTTCAGAATTATGTAGAGCCACGTTTTTGATTCCACGCAGCGTCGTCCTCTCCGAACTCCCAAACGAATTCAGGTGCTTCGTGGTAGCTGACGTGTGAGGATGTCGCCAGCTGAGCTATACGTTGTTTTGTAAGATAGGTGTGACAAATTTCATGTCCGACTCCCATTTCCTGGACCTTTTGAGCTTCATTTCCCGATTCCATCTCTGAGATGCCGGGGGTCAATCCCGCCGACCGACGATGTACATACCTCAGGCGCGGTGCCGGCATGTTGCAAATCCCACCGACGACCGTTTGCGGAATGCCTTGCCAGGACGAGCTTTGCCGTGAGCTGCTCTGTCCTTACCTGTACAGTGGACGGAGCAACCGGCAGCTGATAGCGAACTGTATCGGTCGGTGATCGAGGAGGCTCAAGGGCCTGGGTTTACCAATCTGAGCGCATTGACGATTGTGCAGGGGAATCTTGGGGTTCACATGTGCGCGAAGCAATCAGCATCGCCCTCGAAAATGCAGTCTACACTGAAAGTAGTCCTTGCATCCTTGTGGTGCACAGGTCACAGCCCAGTGCGACAAGCATCCTAAGCATTTCTGACGTGCCCTAAGCATTTCTGACGTGTCCTGAAGCTTGGAGTTCTTGCCGGCGAGGAGCAGATTGTTGAGACGGTGTGTCGTTTGTTTATTTGCACAGTGTGCACCAAGTCCTGTCACCGCATGTGAATCAATGAACAGACTTGGTGCTATGGGCAATTGCAGCAAAGATGTAAGTGCATGAATTGGGAAGTCTTGTGTTTGTTTGGTCCGTAAATGCAAGAGACGTTGATGTCGGGATAGGCCTAGCAGGGGTAGAAAAACGGTGGGCAGGTACAGCAGGTAAGACAGGACGGTATTGTTGCGACTACACGAGGAATTGACCCAGATATAGTCTCAGGCGCCAGCCATTCAAGAAGACGTTTTGGAGTGTGGCAAAGCAAGTTGTCGGTTCACTTGCTGCTCAAAAGTACTGGACCGCAGCGGCAGCATGGGGAACTGGAACCTCCACCCCCGCCAAGAAAACTTGTGAGACTTGTGGTTTTTGCCGAATCAGCAAACTGCCCTTATTGGGTAAAACTGAGTTTCCTCCGTGTAAGTACGTACCTGTAACCCCATGGTTTATCATACCGCCCGTTCTACGGAGCTTTGCTGGCGATGCCATGGCACATGGCCCTTCCGCGTTGATTGCAAGATGCCCGCCAGCTTGATATGCAGGCCTAAGGGTTTGCAGACATGTTGCGAACTTGCAGACGTTGCACAAACAGCAGCCTTGGAGGCTTCAGCACCATGGCCAGCTGCTGTGGCAGTGGCCTCGGCTGATGGCACCGTAGCTCTGGCAGCCTCGTTTTCCATCGTGTCCCTCTCAGGTCGCAGAGCCTGTGTGCCGGATCTGCGGAGTACCATCAGGTCAGCCAAGACTTGAAGGCGCCTCGTGTCGTGCGGCGTAGTGCAGCCAGGAATAAGGAATAAAGCTGCAAACTGCTACTGCTGGGACGACCCTGGCTCTATCAACACGACGCCGAGCTCGCATCCAGGGAATCTAGGGCATCTAGGGTTCATCGCACGCAAGACTCATGGGACCTGCTGTGGCCTGCTGGACTCCTTTCAAAGCGAGCCGCACCCTCTCCTTGCACCTGCAAGGCCTGCACCTGCATCTGGACTTGTCGGCTCTTTTGGGGCGGTCCCCAGCGCAAGAAGTGCTGCCGGAAGGGGAGCTGAGCTACACCGCCCAGCACCTCGAACGGACTGTACAAGCTCGGATTCGCACAGGATCTCGCGCGGTGCATTGATTTGGGAACAAGGGATTCCCTCGCAGATCCCTGGGACTCGCCACAGTCCAACGCGCCCATCCCTGGCCCACGACGCGTGGGTAGCGAATGGTAGCGAGGCTGGATGTCAAGATCTAAACGTACACAGGCTTCTCCAATATACTCATAATCGGACGGAGCTGCTCAGCGCAGCAATATCGCGAAAGACCTGTGAGTGTCCAGAGAAAACTTCGCAGCTCGAGTTGCAACCCTTCTCGGATTTTCCGGTGCTCCGAGTCAAGCTAAATGCTTGGTCTCGCTGCGTGGGATGTGCGATGTGCTGCTCAGTGGAGCAGCGGCCTGCAACATAATGCCGACGGGATCCGAGGAGGATTTCCGTTCCAAAGGCTATGCGATACGACACGAATGGCCGGGCGCGTTCTGTGCAAGATGTAAGCTCCAAGCCTCCAAGCGTAAGGGACTGCAAGAGCTGGCACTGCCGTGCACCGTGCTCTGTTTGAGTTCCAAGGTGCCGCCTGCAGATGGCTTGCTACTTACGGTCAGAAATCAGACATGAAGCCTAGCGTCACGCAAACGTTCTCGAGCGCTGCTGATGTGATTTGTAGCTTCGCTGAATGCCGTGATCAATCGAAGCTAGACAAAAGGTGCGGCCCCATGCCCAGATCCCCCAACACGGCCAAGGCAACTGTGCCTGCATACTGACTTAATTTGCGGACGGAGACAACAGGATGTAACGAAGCGGTTGAGCGGGATTAGTCAGTGCCTTGGTTGCTCGTTTCGGACTGCGCCTAGGTCCAATTCCATCATCGTCTCTCCGCGACCCCTGGTCGCACCCTCAAAGCTGCTGACTAGGCCAAGGCATGCCAAGCCCCCAGAAGACGATTCAGTGCTCGTTCCATCTTGGCCACCTTAGGCTGCCGTCTGTCCTCTCTGCCGCGGAAGGGCTGGTACCTCAGGGTCTAACTTGCAAAAATGACACTAGAAGTTCGGTGTTGTTTGTAGTGCGATGTGTCTCCGCATCTCGTGGACTTGCCCAGAGTTGAGATATCCTGGAGCGGCTGAGAGCCTGAGAGCATCAAACTGAGGCCGTGCATAAATGAAGCAGCAAGCGTGGTGGCTACCAGCAGTTTCGGTTGATTGCAGATTGTTCTTCACAGCCTGGCTGTACCGTCCCAGTGGCGAGCAGAACTTCACACACACGGACAGAGGGAGACTGAAGAAGAGATATGCATATTTACAACTCTATATATACAGATATGTATATATATATATATATATATATGTATATGTATCATCGAAGGGTGTGGGCCTGGATTCTTTGGCAACGAGATTATGGTTTCTAGGACTTGACCAGATACCGTGTGAGCCTTTGCGAAGTCGAGGTTGATGAACATAGGAACGTCGTGCAGAACACTCAAAGGTGTGGCTGGTACCTTCCAACTCAAAATAGGATTTCATGCAGGTTGGGACGGTTCGGAGCAAAGATGAGCATTCGTTTTGTGAGTTTAACCTCGGGTTGGAGAGCATCACATAGCACCGCCACCTGAACACACCTGAACTTCATAGTATTGCATGCTGCTCCGAACCAATCTCTCATCGTCTCAGGCACCCTCGGTTCCAGCGCAGCGGGTGACGCCGAGAGCATCGGTGATGTGACTCGGGTAATGCTTCAAGCAGTTGTCTTCCTTTGCCTCTTTGGTCGAGCAAGCATGGCGGGGCCCGGGGACGGTTTCACGATGGCGCTTCTTGGCAGGTTGCGCATAAGCAGCGCAAAGACTTTGGAGCCAGGCGTCGAGCATCTCTAGAGTGGTCTTTCACAAGTTGCCTCCTGCCTTTGGTATGTGCGCAAAGCTTGCCTTGGCGTGCCAGTACTTACATACCCCCTTGCTTCATTGGTTGCTTCTGTCCTCACACGCTACTTCGTGTAGCTGCGACCAGCAACTCAGTGGTCCGTTCTCTCTTCTGATTAAGCAGCAGACAGAGTTCCCTGCCCGCACCCCACCGTTGCGTCGTAAAGGACCTGGACTTGAATTGTGTGTTTCACCAGCCTTGTTCTGCTGCAAGTAGCAGAAAGAGCCCGAACGGACCCTCCCATTTCATTCATCACTGAGAGTACATACGAGAGCGTGGCTTGGGCAACATCAGCTGTCGTGCGCGCGCAGAAAGCCTGATTGTCAAGTTCAAGACAACCTGTCTCGGGCCAGGCATGCCCTCTGCGCCCGTCGCCTGTGCCTCCAGAAAAAGCATCAGTCCAGCGAGCGTAGCTTAGCTGCCTTCATGCTCCAGTATCCTCGTGAAATTTGCGAATTGTATTTGATGTTAAAGTTCCGAAGTATGGCAGACTGGGCTCGCTTCGCATTTGACTTGTCGGCCTCGCTTGTCGCTCGAGGTAACAAGCTCTACACTCCTGCGGCCAGCAACCGCCGTCACCGTGCAGAGATGTGTCCGCAGCATTAGCATCTTGATGGCAGTAGTGTGTCGCAGTCAATCAAGACATTCAAGACCGATCTGCCGTGTCCGCCAATGCAGCACAGTCCTCAGGGGTCATGGCAGGTCATGGCTAGTCCAAGATGTCGAAATTCTTCCAAGTTTGAGCCAGCACCAGGTCCGAATTCGAGGCCTGTCCTGCAGGCGCAGGCACCGTCACTGAAAAACAAGTTGAAATGCTTGCAGGGCCGATTCAGAGGTAGAGAAGCTTGGCCGCGAAATTTGAGTCTGAGTTTTCGACTTTTCAGCCCCCGTTTGGAGACTCTCAGAATGAAAGGCCGCGGGCAGGCTCAGCGAGGCTGCAGGCAAAGCCAGCATGGGCTTCGTATCTTGCCGTGTGCTAAATGCCGAGTCGACACCCGACATGCTGCAGAGTCTTCAAACCATGCATGCTTCATGCCTTGCAACTTTTGGCAAGTGGTCCAAAAGACGTGAGTGCTTACCTCCTGAAGTTGAATGCAGCTGCAGAGACGCAGCCTGTTCGGATCGCAGGTCCAGTGAGTGAGGAACGTGCTGGTGCTGGCAGCAACGTCGAGGCAACACGTGTGCTGAGAAACAGCAGTGAAGTCTCCTATGGTGAGGCCCTTGGCACCTCTGTTGGCCAGAGGGCTCTGAGCACCACCGGGCAAAGTTCCTGGAGGCACCCCCGGCGCCCAAGCGAGTCTATCCCTATCAAGTTGCCAGACCAGGACACAGGTCGCCGATGACTCCAAAACCCGTACTCAGTCCGCAGCCTCCACCACAGCCGCAGCCTCTGCATCAAGTACACGTAGTGTGGGCAAGTTTGCTGTGGATTGGCTCCGGGTGGCAGGAGTTGCCAAGCAGAGAGCTGAAGAGCTCTGCGCTGGAGTGCCTCGTCCGATTGCCCCCGATGGCTATGCAAACCTCTTAAGTGCCCAGACTCGATGAGAGACCGACGCTCCGAGCATCGGCTTGGTGCACCAGCTTCATGTGGCCAACGCCTGCCAGGAGTGCGGTCTTGTTGAGCGAGTTCGGCAAGACGCTGGAGCAGGTCGCTCTGTGACGAAACCCGAGTTGTTGGGGAGACGTCGTAGCCTCTACCAGCAGCGCGAGATCAGTCTTGAGCAGGGTTCTGTGAGTGCTTTCTGCTGAGCACCGCACGCATTGGCCTGGTGTGCCAGTTAGCCGTTAGCCGTGACGAAAATTCGGTCGCTTGGGGCCGGGAACGTGGGGGGGGGGGGGGGGGGGGGGGGGGAAATTTCCCAGCTTCACGCACCAGTATACCAACACCCGACGAGTCACTTCCTGGTGAAACATGGATAACCCACAACCAGGGACAAGCACTGCTTTTGCACGCATCTACGCCACCACCGGGATAGAAGCTACGTAGTCTATGTATACTGCACGAAGACACCTAACTGCCATCTGTTTCACGTGCAAGACGATATCCGCGCGAGCACAGCTTCCTCGCGGATGCAACTAACGCGTGACAGCTGTTCATGTGGCAGTTGCTTTAATTTGCTGCCCCTGATACATGTGCTTACTTCAATACGCGGGTGTTTTTGGGCGTCATCTTCGACATGCTCGGGATTTGACAGTTCTGTTTAGGAATTTTCCACGGTACATGTGGTCAGTTCTGAGTTAAGGAGACGTTGCTACGAGGCCTTAGAGTTCTTGTGTTAGGAGGCCCTGGCCGGGTTTTTGCGCCATAATCCCCGTCCTAAATCCTTCACCCCCAAACTTTCCTAAACATCCCTGAAGCCGCCCTACCATCACAACCCTTCTAAACCCTGCGAGATCAAACCTCACAGGCTGCCTAACCCCCCCTGAGCTGTCAACGCCTCTAGATTCCCCTAGACTCCTGATGAGAACCAAACCCGCCTAAACAGCTAAAGATCCCCCTGAACCCTTCTACTGTGCTATTGCTAAAATTTCCGAGAATACTCTACTACTACTACTACTACCACCACCACCACCACCACCACCACCACCACGACTACTACTACTACTACTACTACTACTACTGCTACTACTACTACTACTATATCCGGCCGGGCTTGTCGGTGTTTAGAATACCGACGACTGCGAGGGTGCAAACGGACCAGATCGGAGCGGAGGTAGCGCATAGCCCGCTCCGTGTACTTGGCATAATTGGCTTATCGCCGGTATATCTGCACGGTCGGCGTCTGTGCGTTGAATTCCTTTTCGATAAAGCATCTTGGCGGTGGGGAAGGTGGACGTTAGTGCTGGGCAGGAGCCGTAGTTAGTAGTTCCACACCTTGGCCTACAGCGGGAGCGCTGTATAAGAAAATACTTTCTGGGACCAGGGTGGTCTGGTTTTCATATTTTGATAGCGGCTGGTTTTATGGGAAAATTTAATCTGGGATGGGTCAGGGTAGTCTGGTTTCCTTAAGGCCGTTTTCTTATATGGCTATGTCCAGGGCCCGTTCCAGAACCCACCTAAATAAGAAAACGAGACTCTGGCATTTTCTTATTCTCCTTCGTTCCATAACCCACCTAAATAAGAAAACGAGACTCTGGCATTTTCTTATTCTCCTTCGTTCCAGAACCCACCTAAATAAGAAAACGAGACTCTGGCATTTTCTTATTCTCCTTCGTTCCAGAACCCACATAAATAAGAAAACGAGACTCTGGCATTTTCTTATTCTTCTTCGTTCCAGAACCCACCTGAATAAGAAAACGAGACTCTTGCATTTTCTTATTCTCCTTCGTTCCAGAACCCACCTAAATAAGAAAACGAGACTCTGGCATTTTCTTATTCTCCTTCGTTCCAGAGCCCAGCTAAAGACCACGAGGATGCCTACGATCCCTGAAAGCCGTGCTTGGAAGCCTTGGAGGGGAAACTTCAGCAGGGTCAAGGCACGAAGTGCCTAGGACACCCCAAGTACTAGGGCTAGGATGTTAGGCAAAGGCCCCTGATGTATGGAACCCCTCATACAGCACAGGCCAAGTTTACGCGCACTAGTATGACAGAACGAAATAAGAAAATAAGACTCGCAGACGAGGGTACCCTGGTTTTCTCATTTTAACAGTGCTTGGTATTTCATGTAGAACCCTATCAGTCCCAAAATCCAGAGTCTCATTTTCTTAATCCAATGTTTTCTTAAGTAGTGCTGTTGCTGTACCTCTGCTGGCATGCTTAGGCGACCCTCCTCTTGCGCCAGACGAACGACTCTGGCAACCTAGCTGCAAGAGACGGCCAATTAGGTCCTGACGTGATCTTAATTTCGCCGATTGTTCCTGCATGGTTTTCAGCCAAGACATTCCAGCTAATCCTGGGCAGGCCCGCGTCTGAGAGCAACACTGCTACAAGCAGCCGACTGACCGACCAGCACAAGTTCTGCAGGAAAGCCCGGTTGGCGCTTCGGCGGCTGGACCTCTTCCACCACCTCACAGTGCTGTCCCCTCTACCAGGTTTTCGGACACGGGAAGGGCGCATCGTAACAGAAGGGCTTGCATGCTTCCGGGGATTTCCCGGGCTTTAGCTTCATAAAGCAGCTTCAATATATAAGGCAATGTGTCCGCCCAAGTTTCGCGATGACTCCACGTAAGGAATCAGAAATTCCGCGAAAGTTTCGGCTACATACTAGACTTGGAGCATAAAAACACTTGTTGACTTGTAGAGAACATACCATCATTATGCAGGTGCAAAGGTCCCCGGCCCATTAGTACTGCGCCTACTGCACCTACTGCCCACTGCGCCTATACTGCCTACTGCGCCTATTTCGAAAAAACTACCGGCTGCGCCTGCTGCGCCTACTGCGCCTAATGCGGCTGCTGAGCGTACTGCGCCTACTGCGCCTACTGCACCTATTGCGCCTGTATTGCGCCTACTGCGCCTCTACTATGCGTACTGCACCTCTACTGCGCCTACTGCCTTCGGCCTGCTGCCTGCTGCTACGTTGCTATACTGCTACTGCCGTTGCTACTGCTACTATACTGCTGCTACTACTACTACGACTACGACGACTACTACTATTACCACTATTACGACGACTACTACTACTACTACTACTACTACTACTGCTACTGCTACTGCTACTGCTACTGCTACTGCTACTGCTACTGCTACTGCTACTGCTACTGCTACTGCTACTGCTACTGCTATAGCTACTACTTCTACGACGACCTCTTGACTACTGCTGCTACCTGCTGCTGCTACAAACAGCACGGAAGGAATCACCTTTCTCTGAGAGAGGAATGCAGATAAAGACTTCTCACCGGAAACTCTTATGTTGTACCTGTAGCAGTGTTTGACACCGGCCACATCTGACCTCTCCACCACATCATGGTGGGCAGGCTCAAAGGAGAGGTTCGAATAACTGCGAGGACATGGATGGTGCCTCCCGAAGCTTGAGAGATGCAAGGGGCCGATCTATGCCAACGCCAAGCCATCAGGAATCTTCGGGGCCACTCCCTTCGCCCGACTTCATGCGCCATGTAGGCCTCAGGAGAAGGTCGAGTGCAAAAAGAAGTCAGTTTCCCAGAAAATGTAGCTAATGTTCCACACAACCACAGGGTGTTTGCGTCGTGTTCTGCATTGTTCAAAGCTCACACGACTGATACACGACCGGGTCAATCACAGTTGTGGAGGTCTTGCTGCTGAGCTGCAGGGGCTTGAACTGGCTGTGGTTCACTCAAGCTTGCCAGGTTGATGGCTGCAACTCCGCAGCTTGCTCCCAACCGAACTTCCCCGCCGTCGCCACGCAGGGCTTCCGAAGCTCCAGCATGCAATTCCTTGCGATGGCAGCAGCCGCCGCGACAAAGCCCAGGCTGTGAGACACACTCAGGTACCGTCCCAGAGCTCCCCAACCCAGATCTGACTGCCGCAACGGAAGCATCTGCAGCAGCACTCTCCAGCACAACTCCTGCAACTCCTGCCATCAAGTTCCCAGAGCCCAACCTTGCAGGCATTGGAACACTTGGCACCACCACTCAGAACCCCATACTTGCATCGGCACCCACCCTCCCGTGCGACCCATGCACACCGACCTCAGATGTCGCAACGGCTCCGCTGTGGGATCCTGTATCGACAGCGTGTGCACCTTCAGGGCAATTGAGCAACTCACAGGTCGGGCGCTTTGTCGCGAGAACGTGCAAGGATGCTTTGTGCCTTGGTCAGGATGTTCTGCCGTGTGCTGCAAGTTCTCGGAGCAGCCCCTTCTGCATCCAGGTGCCACAAAACCTCGTTGAAGGTTACATCCATACTGTGCCTGTCTGGTGCAAGGGCAAGATGACCAATCTGCCAAGTTGCAGATCACCGTCCAGGTTCAGCTCAGCTCGAGACGCTTTCGTGAACTACGTTGTTCCATTTTGCAGGCCGCGGTCACCAAAACATGACGAACTCTACGAGGATGCGGCTGCGCGTCGAGAGCGACACCAGGCACCGGGCCTGCGGTATGCCTGTGAAGTTCCGTTAACTAGAGTTTGCTTTTTGACGTGAAGGACCGCCTGGGTGAGCAGCTGCGACGGCAGCAGCGGAACGAAGCTGAGGAACAGATGCGCTGGCAGCTGCTCTAACGCATGTGAGAGGGAGGGAAAAGGCGAGAGGAATATTCATGGAAGGGAGGCAGGGAGTGGAAGGGTCTGCTGGGGCAGAGCCACAGAGCTTGCCACGTAAAGAGAGGCGTCCAGTATCGGGATGGAGGGCCTGGATGTTGAATGTTAGAGACAGGTAGTGCAGAAGTCCTGGTGCAGTCAATGTCGAAGCAGACGTGTCACAGCCGAGGTTGGAGAAAGAACGCTGGCAGGCGTGAACTTCGACCTCGCGTCGAATCAGATTATTTTGACAGTGTGGATCCCCCAAAAGTGAAAGGGCACCACGGCATGACGACCTTGACACCCACCACCACTCGGACCACGACGACATTTACGAAGAGACCTCAGACAAAGCATGCTAGAGAACACCAGGACGGGCCACCACACCACCGGGAGACGACCAGCACACAGCCATGCCATACCGCTTTCCCCCAAATACGGGCGAGATCCAAAAGCACGGTCACCCAAGGACACTCAAATGATTCGTCCAAGTACTGGTACTGGTGGATGCAGAACACGGCCGAAATGCTTTTCCCCAAGTACTCGCGAGATTCAGTGAAGATTCGAGAACACGGCAGAAATGTTTACCACCAAGTACTGGCGATTCATAAGGATGGGCACAATGTGACTGAATACTGGCATGATTCAGGAGCATGTCGGTTAGCTTTCTCCAATGGTAAACAGCGGGATTCAGAAGGACGGCCAAAATCGTGCTGCGGTTCAAGGTTTTTGGTGCGAAAAAATGGCCCATGTGATGGAATTTACGACAATGGGACACGAGCGCAAACTATGTACCACGACACAGCCGAGCCGCGCGTCGGGGAACAAGTTTCTGCCAACGTTAGGTCCACATGGTTATATGTACCGCACTGTTTGGGGAAGTAGGTCAGCTTGTACAGTCCATGTATGCTTGCCAGCAACAAGTGTTTGCTTGCTTCGATGTCCGCAAGCCAGGCCAGCTACAGAGGACCTCAGGACTTGATAGCTGTCCAGAGCTTTTGGGTGGATTGGTTGTTCAGCTTCCGATGACGTGCAATCAGGATCTCCGAAGCCACTTGGAGAGGGAGCTGGAACTGTTGCAGAAGAGGTGGGGGCAAAGCCAACCGAAATGAATGTAGAGCTTGCTCACAACATACTTGTGAGCCTCTAGACTCTAGGCATGCTGATGAGCCTGCACGTCTGCTGGGAAAGGCGGTCACGACAACAAGAGTTCCAAGTGGAGCTGCCGGGAATGTGTTTAGCATTGTTGTCATGGTTTTGATGTTAAGAACGGGCCGCACCCTGGCTGGTTGCGGGTCGTTTTGCATGTTTTGCCAATTCAACCCTGCCGGCTCCTCCCCTTGCATTTCTCCTCCATTCACCTGTTTTCCTGGTACTTCTCAGCGTGTTGTGGACTATCTTCAGTCAGTTGTCAAGAACCGGGCAAGTGCCGATGCTCATAGCATCTCTCGCTGCTGAAACAATGCTCTGTGAATATGTAGAAGTTCGAGTGGAGCACGACGAAGTGCAGCTCAGGCAACTTGCGAGGGAGAAGGAGGATTGCCCTTGCTCTGATCCAAGCCAGCATGCGGGCTGTTGGTTTAGCTTGTGGTTCGATTTTCTGTTGCCAGCCAAAGCCTTATAGGTGCAGTTGGCGTGTCACTATTCACTGCCTAGAACCAGCTCTGTCATGGAGATGCCAGGAGATGCAAGAGTGTACCTTCTGGCCCAATACCAGCAGGCCTGCACATTGCAAGCAGATTCATTCCCAAATCGCTGCGATGAGTTAAAGCGCAAACCGAGTTCTCGAAGAACTTTGATTGTGCAATCGTGAGAATTGGGTTGTTGACTTCGCTCTTTCAGGGATACTCGACCCAGGCTTTGACCAAGCTCCAAGTCCTAGGCTTCGCAATTTCCGCTGGCACCGAACTGATCAAAGCGCATTAACAGCGGCGGTTTCATTTAAATTAGATGCAAATCCATGGTTCCGAGCCAGGGTTCCTTCTTCCGTTGAAGCCGATGCTGGTCTTCACATACTCCTCCCATGCCGCTGGTGACTCTTCTGTGTCTGCGGCTGTGTAGCAGCTGACCAGCTGCCTTTGCTCTGCCAGGATTGCAAGAAACTACAAGATCAAAAGAGTGCACACTTTCTAAAAAAAGGAAGCAAACAGACACGCACGCGCGCACACACACACACACACACACACACACACACACACACACACACACACACACACACACACACACACACACACACACACACACACACACACACACACACACACACACACACACACACACACACACACACACACACACACACACACACACACACACACACACACACACACACACACACACACACACACACACACACACACACACACACACACACACACACACACACACACACACACACACACACACACACACACACACACACACACACGACACACACACACACACACACACTTGACACATCGTGTCGCAGGTCTGATCTGTCGGTGCATACTGTCAGGAAAAGTCAGCAGCTCAAAGCAAGCCCTCACTCAAACACAGCTCTGAGTCACACCTGAATGATCAGATTGCAGCAACCATGCAGGAAACTCGACAGTGGCAAACGTGAAGCTGTCACTCTAGTGTTGGTTACTCCAGTGCCTCAGGGGGCCCACTGGCTAATCCGAAAGCAGGTACACAGTGGTGATCAGCCACTGCATCCACTCCAGTGATTTGGCTTCGTTGGGCAAGGCTAATCACTGGAGCCCTTGCCCCCCTGCATGACACACAATCGACCCTTCGGAACAGGGATGGACACACACAAGCCCGACTGGGCTCGTTGTAGGAGCTTGCACATCCCTTGCACGTCACTTGCACATCCCTTGCACGTCCCTTGCACGTCACTTGCACGTCCCTTGCACATCCCTTGCTGCTTTTTCACTGAATTTCATGAGAGAGTCTTATGCTCAAGACACCTAGGAGAGTGGGCTCCGAAACCTCAGGAAGCGCAGTCTGTGCACTAAGTGCAATTCAACTTCTGCTTCTTCCGCATCGGCATCGAAGTACATGCAACACTGAGTTGCAGTTTGGTACGCAACGCTGGCCAGTGACACGATACTCACTCGCAAACGCTCCTGTACTAGACCTACGACAGCTCTCATCCACCTTTTTGACGGGCTGCTCAACATGGTGCATGCCACGACATTGATTTGTGCAAAACGGATGGTGGTATGCAGAGACTGAAAACCCATGGTCCACTTAGCCGAAGAGGACAGCCGAAACTCCTGTATCCCACGTCGCAGAAAAGTGTACGCCACCATGGTGTCAGTAATGGGTTGTGCCTCTTCAAAGTCATCATCTGGATCGAGACGGGTAATGAATGTGATTCTGGTTCTGATCGGCAACACGTACATCAAGACGTTATCGAGCACATCAGAAGCAGCCCAATCCATGGTGTTCGGGGTCTACACAATTTTCCGAGTGCTTGAAGCAAAACTGCACTTGCACAGACCTCACACACCCTTGCATATCACTTGCAATTCGCTTGCGCATCACTTGCAATCCGATTGCACATCCCTTGCTCGTCACTGCTCTTGAATTGACACGGAGGTGGGCTCTTTTTATACCGTAACGACGAAGTCGACTGGTTCGAGGGTTTGAGCAGTCGTAACAGGTTCTGTAAACCGAAGGTGACGAAAGTTTTGTACAAGCTGGAAGGTGTGCAACCTAGGCCACCAGCCGAACTTCTCCCAAAGCTGCATCGCGACAAGGTGTTTGGCACCGTTGATGGAATCGTTGATTGACAACTGGATGTGGAGAATAATAGTCTCGTGTCCGGTTGCCCGACTGCATACACGAACCCACATCCGAAAATTGTAGTCGCGGCTGGTACTCCAAGGCAAATTGGCTTCGCGGGCCTTGCGCTTCATGATGGACAACCTACACAATTTCACTGGATGTCAAATGCTGCAACTCAAGACGGCTCATGCAGAAACTCTTGCACATCCCTTGCACGTCACTTGCACGTCCCATGCAGAAACTCTTGCACATCCCTTGCACGTCACTTGCACGTCCCTTGCACATCCCTTGCAACATCCTTGCACTGACACTGGCACACAAACGCTTGTTTGCACCTGCTCTCGTTTCACTCTGAGACTTCAATTTCTGCTGGAAGTGTTGGGGGCAACTCTGTTGTTTCTTGAAGTTGAGGAGAATTAACGCAATGAGTAGTCACAGATTGAAGAGAATTCAAATCCGTCAGCAAGTTCCCCACCACTTCGTTGGTCTTCTGAAGTTTCTGAAACAGTTCTGTGGTGGCGGACATAACTTCCGCCACCTGAGCCTCAGTGTCCCTGATTTGTGTGGTGAGCACGTCGAGTTGGGCTTGTTGGATCTTCTGGACGGACAATGCTTCTTCGCGAAAATGACGGAATTCACCTCTGATTGTGATCAGCTCCTGTTGTGTGTAGGAAATCCAGCGTTGGAGAGGTGCCAACGGATCGCACGCTGAGTTGCTCGACATTAGCGCAATGAAACGAGACTTGAGCAGGGTGCTGCAACACTGTTCTGGTGTGTACCACAACACGAATAAACGAGTACTCTCAGCACTGGCATCCACGGCACAGTTTTTCTCACTTCAGCACTCGCATGTGTTACAGATACAAGTGAAATCCTGTCACATCAGGCATACTCAGCTAAGATCAGACGATTGACTGCGTCGCCGTCGGCGTGCTACACGTCTTCTGGTAGGCATAGGTTTGGATCTAATCGGAGTACCTGACGCGGCTGAAGATGTAGGTGCGGCCGACGACGAAGCAGCACTGGACACCAAAGGAGGTTCAGACACACGATGCGCCAAGCTTGCTAGTGGTACCGGGGGTGGAAAGACAGGAGCACTGGTACTGGGCGGGGGGAAGAAGGGAGGGGGAAGAGGGGGAGGGAGGGGAGGAGGGGGAAGAGGGGGAGGGCCAGGGGGAGGAAGGGAGGGAGGTGCAGAACTGGACGAAGGGTTGTCGCTCCCTGCACTCGGTGTACTCCTCGATGTTGGCAGAGAGGATGGAGGTGCATAGGGGTGGGATCTGGACGAACGTGATCCTGAAGCTCCGCTACTGCTAGGACGTTCTTCACGCAGGTTTGCTCTATCCCTCTCATCCAAGCGACGCAACTCTTGCTGCAGCATTCTTTCTGTCCCATCACGCACAAAAGCTGTCAACTGAAGTACGAGAGCTTGACGAAGTTGTGG